CAGTGCTATCAAGCTATCGCCAGATGCTGCAACACGTTTGATTCCCGGCCGGCCAGGAAGCAACCTACATAGTGCAGCAGACCCCTCCCTCCTGTCTCCCTGCTGCTCCCCTCAGCAGTGTGTTTCAGTGCGTCTGCTTGTTCTGTTCCCCACTCTGTCTCTGGTGAGTCCTCTCACTCCTGCAACTGGGCTTACACCCCAGGTCTTGTATGCATAAATAAATAAATCCTTCAAACAAACCTGTGTTTTAACATAACATTACATTAGTAAAAATATTTGATGAGTGACCAGCTGGCTAGATTCTAAAACCTAAGTTGGCCCAAGCCTGGCTCCCAGGATTCCAGGATCACAGAACTTGGCCCAACAGGAGCTTTCCCAGCCCCAGTCCCCAGCACTACAGGATGTTTCCAGCAGAGGGCGCCGCGGGTCCACGTGCTGGGCCCCAGATTCGGTGCCTCTCCCGCTCTGTCAGACAGGATGCCAATCTGCCACCTGCCATGTAGTCTTTTTTTTTTTTTTTTAAAGATTTGTTTATTTATTTACACAAGCACTGGGTATAGTCAGAAGTGCGGGGGGTGAGAGGATTCACCAGAGCCAGAGCGGGGAACAGAACAGGCAGACTGACGAAGTACACTGCTGAGGGGAGCAGCGGGAGCAGCAGGAGAGGTCTGCACGCCATGTGGGACCCTCGCCCAGTGGCCGGGGATCAAACTGGCGCTGCAGAGGCTGCGGACAGCTTCGCAGCCCAGCGCTCAACTGCTGCGCCACCAGGGAGGCCCCCCCACCATTGTTTTGACCTCAGGACCCAGGACATTGATTCTGGATCTGCCACCACGCAGCTGCCTCCACGCAGCTCACCTGAGAATCCCGGCTCCGCCATGTGCTGGCTGTGCGACCCTGCGCCAGGAAGTCACTTCTCTGGGCCTCGGGTGCCTGGTCTGTGGAATGGGATCCCCAAGACCAGCTTACTCTGTGAGGCCGCTGTGGGATGAGTGAGTAATCCTCACGGAAGGATTAGAACATGTGTGGGGGTGGGGGGTGGAGCCGGGTTCAAATCCTAGTCTTGCCATTTCCTTTTTGAGTAACCTGGGGCAGGAGCTAATAGGCGCCTGCCTGCTTCCTCATCTCCACAACGGGGTGATCATGATCACCCTCAGCACACAGCACGGTCCTGAGGATGAAATGAGACAACGAAGCAAGCCTGAAGGACGGTGTCTGCTTCCTTAGGCTGACTTGGTGCTGACTGCATCCCACAGGGCTGAGCTTCTGAGTCTTTACTCAGGACGGCCTGACACCAGGCCCCTGCTCCTGAACTGTTAATCCTCACACCCACCTTAACAGTTATTCCCAGGGCCTCCCGGGTGGTGCAAGGGGTTAAGTGTCAGCACTATGAAGCTATCCGCAGCCTCTGCAGCACGAGTTCGATCCCTGGCCAGGGAGCTACCCACATGGCGCAGCAGACCTCTCCTGTCTCCCCGCTGCTCCCCTCAGCAGTGCATTTTGGTCAGTCTGCCTATTCTGTTCCCCACTCTGTCTCTGGTGAATCCCCTCATTCCCCCCCACCCCGCACCTCTGGCCTGCACCCCAGTTCTTGTAGGCATAAGTAAATACATCTTTCCAAAAATAATAATTTTCTATTTCCCTCTTTGGCCACATTTTTTTCAAAGCCTCCCTTTAAATTTAAAAAGGAAACACCATCAGAGAAAGGTTGACCAAAAACACTATAGAGTGAAAAGTAGGTTTGTGTCTCTCCCCAGTCCCCAGATGTCCTTCCCCAAAGCACACATGATCACCATTTTCTAACATCCTTGCCGAGACTGTCCGTGGACACGGATTCTGCGTGAATGTAGGAGGGCAGGTGGGAGAGCGAGCAGGAAAAAAAAGCCCTCAGCCACCGAGGCAACGGGATGATGACCCTGACCTTGGGCGTGGTCACGTGACTTGCTCTGGCCAAGGACCACCGCTGACAGTCTCGCCAGCCCTCGGCTTTGACCCTCAAGAGGCTTTGAACATCTCCTTTGGCATCTGGCACCATCCTGGGAGAGGCAGCCCCCGCCTGGATGCCCCCTTCAGCCCACAACCCACCACGGCAACTTAAACGAGAAACTGAGTTATTACAATTTTGCAGAGTCTGGTTGGGTGAAACTGGATTCCAGTGGGGCGGGACCCCATCTAGCAGGTCAAAGGGAGCTCTGAGGAGCTGCAGACATGAAAGACTTGAACGGGCTGAAGCCACGGCAGGGGAAATAGCGGGTGGGCGACAGCCTTTGTCCTTTAGGGGAGCCAGGAGCCCAGGGGGCAGATTTCCTAACTAGGGCTGCTCCGCGAGCTCCCGGGGCACTCCTGGGGGGCTGCTTTAAGGTCCCATTTCTGGGAGAGCCCAGCTGTCATGGTGCTAAGTCTCAGTTCAGTGGCGTGGGCCTCAGCGTGAGGGACTGCACTCTGGTTTTGCGCTCTTGTTCTTGGCGGTCTGGAGCAGAGCTTCCCCGGCGAGCCCAGCGCGCCACCCACCTTTAAGCTACTGCATTTTTGTTTTTAAAGATTTATTCACTTATTTATACAAGCACTGGGCACAGTCAGAAGCGCGGGAGGATGAGTGAATTCTCCAGACCAGAGTGGGGAACAGAACAGGCAGACCAATGAAATACACTGCTGAGGGGAGCAGCGGGCGCGGCAGGAGAGGTCTGCGCGCCATGTGGGACCCTCGCTGGCGGCCGTGGATCGAACTGGCGCTGCAGAGGCTGCGGGCAGCCTCACAGGCCAGGGCTCAACTGCTGCGCCACCAGGGGAGACCCAAGCAACTGCATTTGCAGGTGGTGCACTCACAGCATTTGGGTGGCAAAGGCTGTGCATTTAGGTATCTTTTTTTTTTTTTTTCCCATTTAGCACCAGATCTCCACTTCATTTTTCCCTCCCAATGTCTCCTCTGCCTCTCCTGCCCTGGTCCCAGCCCCAGCCCAGTCTCTCAGATAGGCCAAGCCACGCCCACCTCAGGGCCTTTGCACCTGCTGTTCCCCTTCCAGATTCCACTAGGCTGGCTCCGTCCTCGCTCTCGGGTCTCTGCTCAGATGTCACCTCCCCAGAGAGGCCTGACCTGACCTCCCCGGCTGGGCTGTCACTCTCGACTCTTATTCCGCTGCAGCTCCCCTCACGACAGCATATCCCTTGCTCACTCGCACTTGGATGTCACCTCCGGGAGGGCAGGGGTTGGGGCTGCCACTTCACTGTGAGTTCAGTAAACACTGTTGCAATGACAGGCAGGGTTCCCACGAAGACGGAGCGGAGAAAATCTGGGCTAGAGGCGTCACAAGACCAGAAGCTGGAGGTGGGGGTAGAAAGGACAGATGTAGTGGTTGACCCAGCTCTAGAAAAGACAACTCCTTAGGCGCCAATCTAGCAGGTGTCACACTGCAGGAGAAAGGATCTGGAGGGACAGACCAGAGGTGGGAGGTACAGACTGAGGCCTTTATAGAGGTCCCCGTCCTGTCCTAGCCAATCAACCTAGCCCCACCCCAGAAGTCAGGACTTTGACAGCAGATAACAACCCTGCAAAGGACGCAGCCCTCCCCGAAGAAGGACCCTCATCAGGGCAATTTCTGCCCTGGCAAAAGGCAGTTCCCGTCTACACAGGCGTGTTTTTCTTGTCTTTCCTTTTTTCTATAATAAACCTGTCCTTTGGGCTGTAACGAAACATCGCTGCCTCCTGGGGAAACTCGTCCTGGGCCGCTGAAAGGGGAGCGCTGGTGAAACTCTTCTCAGAGGGAACCCAAGTTCCCCTCGCACCGGATCCCACACCTCTCCAGAATGACGTCCGTTCCAGGCCCGTTCCTTTCAGTTCACCGGGCCTCAGTTTCCCTCACTGTGAAGGACAGCACTCAGACAGGTGGATCTAGAGATCGGACCATGGAGACCCGGGGAGGGAGGAAGCCCAGAGAGAAGGGGGAATGTTATTTTCTTTGTTGCAATCCCGGGTGCTCCCTGGAGGAGCTGTCCCTCTGGGCCTTGGCGTCAGACAGACAGTGGGCGATGCCCCCCCGCCCTCCACAAAATCAGTCCTTGAGGTCTGGGCTGCGATGGAGGCCCTAGTCCCATCTGCCAAGTCTGGGGCTGGCGCCCTGAACGCTGCCTCTGCCCAGCCCCCTCCCCCCGCGGTGGACACTGCTTCCTGGCTGCCCTTGTAAGGAGGCGAGGCAGGGACACCCGAGATGCCCGGTTATAATTAACCCGGACACGTGGCGACCCCACCCCCAGCACCTGCCCCCGCGCCCCCCCAGCGCCTCTCCTCCCAGCGCCTCGGGTCTCTGCGGAGCAACGGCACGGCTCGCTCTAAAAATAGACTCCCTTGCTGGCCGGGCTGCCCCTGTGCCCCCACCCCGGAAACCTCCCAGGGTCACCCCAGCCCCCAAGGCTTCCCCTGCTGCCCCCCTGGCCTGGAGCTTGGGTTTGAATCTCCTTCGAGCCCGGCCTGCGCTCCCCGCTCACTCCCCAGCGCCCCCTGGCATCGATCGGCTGCCCCGGAGCTGGGCACAGCAGCCAGAGTCCGAGGGTCCGAGTGTCCGTCCTGTTTCTTCTTCTGGGAACCGGTTGTCAGGCCCCGGCCGGGCCGCTGGGGCTCCCGCAGAGTCAGGGCGCGGGGCCCGCTGCTCCCAGGGCTTCCGGGCCGCGGGCTGAGGGGGGCCGGGCCCAAGGGGGGCTGGCAGCCTCGAGGAGGCCAGGTAGGGCGGCCGCCTGGCCCGGCTCGTGTCCCCGGCGGGGGGCCAGCTGCCCCTGCCAGCCCGACTCAGCACTTGCTCTGGCCTGGGGTGGGGGGGCCGGCCTCGGCCTCTGGGGCGGCCCATACAAGGTCATGGGCTGGGCGCACGGGCTGCCTGGGTTCAGGGCAGAGGTGAGCGCCCAGCTGCCCCCCGGGCCCCCGCGGCCCCGCCCAGCCGAGAGCCAACCGCCCCCTATATAAGGCCGGGGCGCCAGGCCCGCCCTTTGGGTCAGTGTCGCCTCCGGATACAGACAGGCCCCTTCGCCACAGCCCAGCCAGGTACCTCCGCGGGGGGAGCCGGGGAGGGTCCCCGCGGGTGCCCACGGGTGCGGGGCTGGGGGGCTCTGCACGCACCCCCACCCCTGGGGCGTGCGGCTGGTCACTGTGCTGGGAGGTCGACCCCAGCCCGGGCGCCCCCTCCACTGTGAGCCCCTGACCCCGCTGAGACTCGAGTTACCTGAGGCGCAGGGTCTAGGGACCCCCACGACAAAAGGGGTCTTGCCAGCTGTCAGCTGTCAGCCCTGCCAGGGGCTGCCTTCGGGGGGCCCTCCCAGTCTAAGCTCCAGGGGCGCTGGGAGTGTCAGGGGCTGCAGGTCGGGGGCCCTCTGGGTCCCGCCGCGGCCCCCAGCCGTGCGCCCTTGTGTCCGACTGTGTGTGGCTCCTGCGTGGGTGCTGAGCCCTGGGGGGGGGGTCCCTGAGCTGCGGCTGTGTTTGCGGTGGACGCCGTGGGAACTGGGGTGGCGTGTCCCCCGGGGTGTTTCTGTGTGCGCCTCCCTCTCGCCCACCGAATCTCAGGTCCTCTGCTGGCACGTCCCTAGCAGGGCTGGGGGGGGCGGCCTCTGAAGAGGGGTGTCTGCGCTGGAAGCCCTTGAACCCGAGTCCTGGATGCGTGTCCTCCCGGCTACCCTGGCCCACCTGTCCTGGGCCTGCTGACTTGGTGCAAACCGAGCCTCTGGAATGTGGGGGGTGGCTGTGAGGTGGCAGCTGGAGCGGGGAGGAGAGTTTGCCAGACTCTATAAATACTCCCCAACCCTGGACAGCAACTCCAAAGATTCTTGTGGGCCCCCCCCAATCTTCAGCTTGCCCGGGTCCTGATTTCCTTTCGACCATCTTAACCGCTTCCCACGCTGCTGCAACTGGGAGTGAGTGGCCCCCCACACTGAGAGCGACCCCTCTTTTCTGGGTCCTGGGAACACATGTGATGATAACAGCAGCCACCCCACAGTACCCGGCCCCAGCTCCACACCAGGCTCTGTGCTCAGTCAGCCACTTGCCTGAGCTCGAACACACTTCCTGGAGAAGACCCAGTTTCTAGAAGACAGAGGCTCAGAGAGGCTGACACACTGATCCGGGGGTCACGCAGCAGGGAGGTGGCAATGGTGGGATCTGAAGCGCACTCTGTAGATCTCAGAGGCTGAGCTTTTCTTCCCAACTGAGTCCTGGGGAGCCCTGTCAGCAATCAGGGGTGGGGGTAGCCAGTGAGCCCTCCCACCAGGCCCTCAGCCCTTGACTGAGCCCCGGGAGCTTTGATGGAGAGAAAGTCTCCTCTGCGCTCGCTCACTCCTTCCGGGCAACAGCTGCTCTGCTCCCAGCTCCTGGCGCATAAAGCAGCCTGAACAACAGGGACAGTAAGAGCTCAGCAAAGGAATGACCGTCATGCTCCAGGCTCGATAAGCCCCGCTGTGTGCCCCAGGGGGAGGCCAGGGTGGCCCCTGTTTCGCAGAGGAGACATGGGAAGCACAGAGAGGTGCAGCAGCTCACTCGAGCTCACACAGCTAGTGCTGGCAGCACAGCTGGATTCGAACCCGGGCTGTCTGGTGCCAGAAGCCACACTCTCATGCACGCCCCCCGTACTGCGCAGGCCCCAGGGCCCCCGCGCTCCATTTCCAGCCCGAGAAAATGAGCCCCTTGCCAGGTTCCGAGTCCAGGGTCCCCTGGCGGGGAGCGGCAGAGCCGGGACCCTCACCCGAGAGGCTGGATACCCCATCAAGACGCAGGGGTTCAGGGAGGGGACCCCTCCGCGGAGGTCGCTCCATTCCCTGGCTGGTCTCTGCGGGGTGTGAGCCAGTTCCCCCTCCCCCCTGCGCCCCAGGCCCCCCCACGCCGCCGCCATGCCTTTCGGCAACACCCACAACAAGTTCAAGCTGAACTACAAGCCGGAGGAGGAGTACCCGGACCTCACCAAGCACAACAACCACATGGCCAAGGTGCTGACCCCCGACCTCTACAAGAAGCTGCGGGACAAGGAGACCCCTTCGGGCTTCACTCTGGATGACGTCATCCAGACAGGTGTGGACAACCCAGGTAAGCCCCTTGGAGCCCCGCAGGGACGGGCTGGGGCTGGGGCGCTCCACCTGCCAGGGAACCCCACCTGCCTGGACCTCAGCCTCCCCGTCTGCACATGGGCACCTTCCTCACGGGACACCGTGGCACATTCGGGCGCATGTGTGCCGGGCCTGGCTGCAGGGGGAGACACTCCACAGAGGAGGCTATTCAAGGCGAGCTTCCCTGGGCCGCAGCTCCCTCACCCAGAAGATGGGGACCCACCCGGTGAGGACAGCGGAGGCGCACACGGTGCACAGTGCCAGCCTGGGAGGGCCCCTGACAGCAAGGTCAGGGCACAGGAGGCTCCCCCAGGGCGAGCAGAACTTGGGGGGCAGAACCAGGCTCCAGGTCTAACCAGACCCATGTGGCTGAGGGGAGCCGCCCCCTCTCTCAAGGTCGCCTTTTCCCTATCTGGACAATAAGCCAGTCTTCTAAGTCTTATTATCTGTGGGGGCTGACTGTCTCGGGTTCGGAAAATCTTTAGGCACAGACCCCATGATTTGGGGGGGTCTCTGAAGTGGTAATATTTTTATTTAATTTTTTTAGAGATGTATTTATGTATGCATACAAGAGCTGGGGTGCAGGCCAGAGGTGTGGGGGGTGAGAGGATTCACCAGAGACAGAGTGGGGAGCAGAACAGGCAGATCCACTGAAACACACTGCTGAGGGGAGCAGCGGGTGAGTAGGAGAGGTCTGGCGCGCCCTGTGGGTAGCCCCCTGGCCGGGGCTGGAACTCGTGCTGCAGAGGCTGCGACAGCTTAGTGCTGACGCTTGTGCCACCAGGGAGGCCCTGAAGTGCTAATACTTTTAGTGCCTTGTGCTGCCCCCCAGAGGCCCTTCTCACCTTACCCCCCCCCATGGCACCGTTCTCCCCAGGCCCCAGATGCCACCTTAACAGCCCCCCTCCCCATCCTGGCAAACCTCAGCCTTCTCCCCTCTGGCCCAGCGGGTGCGCTGAGCCCCGTGTCTCCCCACAAACACACTCACTGCCTCCGCGGGCGCCCGGAGCCCAGGCCTTCTGTGCTGGTGACTGCCCCTCTGCCCTCTGCCCGACTCCCCAGGTCACCCCTTCATCATGACCGTGGGCTGTGTGGCCGGTGACGAGGAGTCCTACGAGGTTTTCAAGGACCTCTTTGACCCCATCATCCAGGACCGCCACGGGGGCTACAAGCCCACCGACAAGCACAAGACCGACCTCAACCACGAGAACCTCAAGGTGGCTGTGGGGGGCGGGGTCACCCAGAATCTCAGAGATGGGGAGAAACAGGAGGCGGGAGATGGGGGAGAGAGGGGCTGAGAGACACAGAGGACAGAGGCGGGGAGGGGGAGGGAGGGGGAGGGTAGGAGGGGGAGGGAAGGGGAGGGAAGGGAGGGTGGGAGGGGGAGGAGCAGGGGAGGGGAGGGGGAGAGTGGGAGGGGGAGGGGGAGGGAGAACAAGCTGGGACACTTGGGGGAATGGAGAGATGCAGAGAGAGACCCCGGCTGAGGGGAGAGGGCGGGATGAACTGAGGTCAGGGAGTGCTGAGAGAGTCTGGGGGAGGCTGGGTTGGGGTCAGGAACCCCCAGGAAGGTTCCAGAATCCTAACCCCCCACCGCCCTCCAGGGTGGAGACGACCTGGACCCCAACTACGTGTTCAGCAGCCGCGTCCGCACAGGCCGCAGCATCAAGGGCTACACGCTGCCCCCCCACTGCTCCCGCGGGGAGCGCAGGGCTGTGGAGAAGCTCTCCGTGGAAGGTGAGCCCCCCACCGCCCCCCACTCTGAGCCTCTGCGGGCAGGTCTCGGCCCCCGGCTTTCCAAAACACAAAAGGCGCTTGATGGCAGGCACAGGTGCTTGGGGAGCGGCAGCTTCAGCCGGGCGAGGTCCGGGGGCTGCCAAGACTTGAGGGGCCGTGCACAGATCCACGCTGGCTACCCGCACCACCCTCCCTCCTGCCCCCTCCATCCACCCACTGCTCCCCCCCTTGCGTCCCCCACCCCGCCACCCTCTCTCCTGGCCTCCCCCCTCCACCCACTCAGGGATCCCTCCCCTCAGCAGACACGGATGTGACCCTGGTCCTGGGGGAGCAGCTGGGGCTCCCAAGATGAATGGGAAATAGAGAAACCCGGGAAAGGACAAGATAAGGCCAAAGTTCCACGAAGCCAGGAAATGAGGGAGGAAGGTGGCAGAGAATGGTGGGGGCACCTTAGAAAGGAGGGGTTGAGACCTCACCGAGAACACGGAGCCCAGTGGGGCCCAGTGGGAAGAATTCCAGGCAGGTGGAGCAGCAGATGCCAGGCCCCGAGCCAGTCAGAGGCACAGCACGGCCAGGGTGGGGGAGGGGAGGAGGGCGGGTGGTGAGGGCTGACGGGGTGGGGTGCCCGGGGTGTTCAGACCTGTGGGCTGGCATTAGGCCTGAGGGACACAGAAGCCACGGAGGGCGCTGGGCAGAGGAGACACAGGCGCATGCAGCCCTCTGACTGCTGAGTGGGGACCAGACTCCAGCCCAGGTCGGGGCAGAGAGACTGAGGGGCGACCTGGGAGAGGGTGGGTGCGTCCGAGGCTCACCGTTAGTGTTGTCTGAGGCATGGTTTAACAACCACACTCAAAAACGAACACACAACCACAACAACAACAATAACAACAAAACCTGGTTGGCAGCAACTGCCTATTTCTGCAGTGTAAATTCCACCTCAGCCAGTTTCTAGCTTACGGTGGAGGTCACAGAGGTGGGAGGAGATGGCCAGAGGCTCTGTCCACACGCAGCTGCATGCTTGGGAACCACTGCAACAGCACAGATAACCCTAGACCTAAAATAGAGGTGATGGTTTTGAGAACGGATTGCCCTTGTTTGAAGTGTAATTTACTTAAAAAAAAAAAAGATTTATTTATTTATTTATACAAGCACTGGGCACAGTCAGAAGCGCGGGAGGGTGAGAGGATTCACCAGAGCCAGAGCGGGGAACAGAGCAGGCAGACTGATGAAGTACACTGCTGAGGGGAGCAGCAGGCGAAGCAGGACAGGTCTGCGCGCTATGTGGGACCCTTGCCGGTGGCTGGGGATTGAACCAGCACTGCAGAGGCTGCAGGCAGCTTCGCAGCCCAGCGGTCAACCGCTGCGCCACAGGGGAGGCCCCTGAAGTGCACTTTAATTCTAAGTATGTAATTTATGCACATAATGTAATAAAGAATGAAATTTATTTTCAGCAACTTAATATAGTCTATAGCACATGATATATAACATATCATGTAGCAGAGGATGTAACATATGAGATGCATACATATGTACAGATTATAGAAATGTGTATTATGCACCGCTACAACTGTCTTTATTATAGACATAATACATATAATATTTATGAGACCTATGGATATAGACAACAAATGTATTCTATATTATATAACAATTTTATTATTATTATTTATTAGAATGTATACATATAAATTTATATGGTATATAATGCAATATACTATATGAATCTCTATATTACATATAAATAGATGATTTGTTTACATTATTTATGATAATTATTCCAGAATAATTTTATTCTAGAACAATATTCCTAAGCTTTGCCTGTCTCGCCAGCCGGGGCGAGCTGCGCCTGCGTGGGGGTTCTGGTTTCAGCACCCCATATGTTTTGGGGCGAGGTCAGGAACCTGTGCTGGGGGAGAGTGTTTGGGCACCGTTAGGAATGGGCGCGTGGGGGGCGCGGAGCCGCTGCTCACTGGCCCTGTGGCCCTCAGCCCTCAACAGCCTGACGGGCGAGTTCAAGGGCAAGTACTACCCCCTGAAGAGCATGACGGAGAAGGAGCAGCAGCAGCTCATCGACGACCACTTCCTGTTCGACAAGCCCGTGTCTCCCCTGCTGCTGGCCTCGGGCATGGCCCGGGACTGGCCCGACGCCCGTGGCATCTGGTGAGCCCTCCCCTCCCCTCCCCTCCCCTCAGCCTGCTCCACTTCCCCCGTGCCCGCCCCCTCACCCTGCACCTACTGTGGGGTCTCGGGGCTCCACTTTGGTCTCATCTGAAGCCGACTCTCTGGGTTCAGATCCTAGGCCGCTGCTGACTAGCCGTGTGGCCTTGGGCGCAGCTCCCCCATCTATAAACTGGGATCCAATAACTCGTAGCTTTTGGGGTGGTTGGGAGGATTCAATGAGTTGATTTAAGGGCAGTACCTACATAGCAGGTGCCAGGCACAGCCGGGCCTTGGGAGGATCTTGGTTACTAACTATTGCTGCCGGTTAGACTTGCCCGGAATCTTTGAATCCCTGACTCCGACAGCCGGAGATTTAAAAAGGGGTGAAGAGCCTCCTAGATTCCCAAGAAATTAGAGAGCCCAGATTCTGAGATTTGCAGATATGTGAGTTTCAGATTTCAAGACGTGAAATATTTTTAGGTTCTAGGATTCTGCCAGTTTCATAGTCTATGATTATATGTTTCAAACATCTTTAGATCTTAAAGTTTTCTGGTTCACTGCCTGGTTCTGAGATGTCACAATGTCATGGAGACCCTCTGGACCAGATGTAGGGTTCCAGAATCTATCAAGCATCTTTTCCCCAAAGAGTCTGACATTCTAAGTCTATGACGCTGCTCAAAGACTTAGACCCTAACAAAGTCTGCATCCCAGGATTCCAGATTACTTAGGTCCTGTGATCTTAGCGTCTGCAGGTGTAAACAGATTTTTTTTTTTATGATCTATTTACGCACACAAGAACTGGGGTACAGGCCAGAGGGGGTGGAGGGTGAGAGGATTCACCAGAGACAGAGTGGGGAGCAGAACAGGCAGATCTACTGAAATACACTGCTGAGGGGAGCAGCGGGTGAACCAAGAGAGGTCTGCTGCACCTTGTGGGTTGCTCCCTGGCCAGGCGGGGATCGAACACGCGCTGCAGAGGCCGCGGCCAGCCTCTTAGGCTGCGTCCCACCCCCTTGCGCTACCAGGGAGGCCCGGTGTAAACAGATTTTGAGGAAGCCGGTGTCACCTCGTGCCCCGCCCCTGCGCCGCAGGCCTGCCATCCCCTAGCGGTGGGCCCGTGAGCAAGCGGGGACAGGGCGTATCCGCTGAGCGTTTCCCCGGCCTGCGGCCGCGCCCCGCTCTAGGCACAATGACAACAAGAGCTTCCTGGTGTGGGTGAACGAGGAGGACCACCTCCGCGTCATCTCCATGCAGAAGGGGGGCAACATGAAGGAGGTTTTCCGCCGCTTCTGCGTGGGGCTGCAGAAGGTGAGGGCCTGCCTGTGCGGATGATTTCCGACGACTCCACCCAGCACCCCCCAGCAGCCTTCTGGGGCGCGTCCCCCGGAGTCCCGCCCCTGCATGTGCTTCAGCTCCGCCCCTCAAGACAAGCCACACCCGCTTTCCAAGGCCCCGCCCCCGGGCACCCCGCCTCACCCCACACCCAAGCCCCGCCCACTTAGAGCCCGCTCCAAAGTGACCGCTGACGCAGATGCAACCCCCCCATGTCATCCCGCCCAGTATTCCAGACCCGCCCCCTTGGAACTCCGCCCTCACCCCGTCCTCGCTCGGAACCCCGTCTGGTTTGCGGGAGTATTGGTGAGCGCGCGGCGCTGACCCTGGCCCTCTCCACCTACCTTAGATCGAGGAGATCTTCAAGAAAGCCGGCCACCCCTTCATGTGGAACGAGCACCTGGGCTACGTGCTCACCTGCCCGTCCAACCTGGGCACGGGGCTGCGCGGCGGTGTGCACGTGAAGCTGGAGCACCTGAGCAAGCACCCCAAGTTCGAGGAGATTCTCACCCGCCTGCGCCTGCAGAAGCGAGGCACAGGTATGGCCCGCATCCCCGCCCGCGGCGTCCGGGGGAGGTGGGGCACCCCCGCGCGTTCTGAGGTCCGGAGGGGGGCCCCTCGGTGAGCCTCAGCTTCTTGCTCTCCACGTGGGCATCAGCACGCTTCGCTCACGGGAGCCCACGTAGTCTCAGCCCGGCGGGGCGGCGGGCGCTGTCTGTCCCGGGCCGCCGGGGCCGTCGGGGCGGGATGGGTGGTCGGGCGCCCCTGCCACCCGGCTCCGGGGCTCACTCTCGCCCGTCCCGCGGCGCCCTCATGTGGGTTACCCGAGGGGAAGGTCCCTGAAGTAGCCATTTCAGAGGCTCCGCGTGCCCTGAGCGGTGCCCAGCAGGACGCACGGCCCGCGCGGGGCTGTCCCGGGCCCCGCCCCGCGCGCACCTCACGCCCCGCCTCCCGCTCCCGCAGGCGGTGTGGACACGGCGGCCGTGGGCTCGGTGTTCGACGTGTCCAACGCCGACAGGCTGGGCTCGTCCGAGGTAGAGCAGGTGCAGCTGGTGGTGGACGGCGTGAAGCTCATGGTGGAGATGGAGAAGAAGCTGGAGAAGGGCCAGTCCATCGACGACATGATCCCCGCCCAGAAGTAGGCGTCCCGACGGCCCCGCCCAGACGGCCGCCAAGGGGGCGTGGCTCCAGCGAGGACCGCCCCCTCGCCTCTCGCCCCGCCCCTTTCCCGGGAGTCACACTGGCTCCAACCAATGGGCTCCCTCGCACCTGCCTCTCCTTTTCCAGAGCTCCGCCCACCACCGGGAGCTCCAGCTCCGAGAGCGGACGCGGGGCACATCTGGGGCCCCAGCTTTTTCTCCACTCAAAGCAACAAATAAAAGCAATGGTGGCCTTAGCGTTGTGCACAGGGGTTATTACGGGAGGAGGCAGAGAAGCGACTTTGCAATCGGGCCCTCGGGCCCTCAAGGGGTGGGTGTCCTCTCCAGGCAGGGCCAGGTGAGCTCCATCCCACTCTAAAAGGAGCAACGTTGGAGTGTAGCCCCCAGATTATAAGGGGGACCTGAGATCCAGAGTGAACCGATCAGTGTCACATCGCCACGCTGGGCCTCGCCGACGCCAGCTCCCCACGCGTCGCGCGCAGATGCAAGCTCGGGGCCCGCGAGGGGACGGAACAAAACGTCGAGGCCTTGAATTTGGTTCCGGGGCCCCCAGGCTGAGGCCTCCCAGGGCCCCTCACCTCAGACACCTTTATGCTCCCGACGGTGCCGTCCGCCTTCACCCTCTGGAGCTGCGACCCGTCTCCCCAGCTCCCCTCCCTCTTCGCAGGCACCTGCGCGCCCCTCCACCTCCCGGGCGCGGCCTCCTAGTCCTGGTTCTTCGAGGTCGAGCTGAAATGCGTGTTGTTTGCCGAGGCTCATCTTCCAATTCCTTTCCCACGGCTCCTTCCTCTCTTCGTCCTCACAGCCAGCGGCTCCCACCTGAGTGTCCTTGCCCGTGCTGTGCCCACCGTTAGACTGGGGCTCGGGCCCGAGCACCCCCATGAGTACGGTGCTGTCGGCCGGGGGGGGGGGGGGGCGGGGGGGGGAGCTTGGTCTACGCAGGCGCAGGAGGAGGCCTGGGGGGAGTGGGAGGGGCAGAGAACGCACCCTAAGAAGCAGCTGAACATCTATTGGCTGTCGGTCACGTCAATCATCCCGACTTAGTCCAATAGGCTGAGCGCTCCATGATGGCCGGCAGGTGAGTTCCAAAGAGGGGTTCCTGGAGGGTATGAGGCGGCGCAGAGGGCAGAGCCCTGGGACCTGCAGGACGCACTTTTCCAAACCTTAGGTCACATGTGTAAAGGTCCCTAGAGATTTTTTTTTTTTTTGCTCAGTTTACGGAAGGGAAACTGAGGCCCAGAGATTACTGAACTAGGGTGAGGCCCCAAAGGCGAAGGCGTGCGGACCGGTCGGATGCTGGGTGACCTTTACAGTGTTGTCCCAACTGAAGACCCCATCCCTCATCCCCGCTGCACGCTCACAGGCCCACACACACCCAGAGGGGATGGTTTGTGCCAGCCAAACCCACAGTCCTGGTCCCACCGCCTCCTAAACTTTAAACCCACCCCCCGCGCCTCTCCTTCTGTCCCACCTCGGCCTCCTCCCTCTTGTGCTTCTTTCACTCTTGACAGCACCAACCTGCCCCTGCCTCTCCCTTGCTCACAATTTGGCCTTGGTTCCCAGTGCCCCAGTAAGCAAGGCCAGGCCCCTTTCCAGGCCCCTTTGCAGGCCCGTCAAGGCCCGGCCAGCATCTCCAGGTTTGTCTCTCATAGCAGACTCTACACTCACCTTGAATCGTAAGCCATGTGAGGGACTCGTGTTCTCTTTAGTCCCCTTTGAGCCACTCCCCCCCACCCCAAAGCTGGCCACTGCCCGTTATTCTCTCCCTCCTCCTCCAGGAAGCCTTCCCCTTGCACTTCCTGAGCTTTCAGTCTCCCCTATAACCAGCCCTGACCACTCTGGGTCATCACTAAAGACACAGTGGCCTTCTCCACCAGACTGTGCGCCCTGGGGGTGAGGGGCAGGGCTGGGGCCTTCTGATCGCCACAATGTCGCCTGCACAGGGCTGGGCACAGAGGCAGCCCTAAGAATTGAGATTGGAGACCAGGTTAGCGCTTCTGTCCCACCTCTGCACCCCGTTTTCTGCCCTCCCAACTACATGTCTCTGCAGACCCCCGTTCTGATCTCAGAAGACAAGCATGTGGTTCTGCTGTCAACACTGACCACTCTTTATCTTTACCGGCCTTCATTCCTCATTTGATTTTCCCATCAGCCCTCAAAGAACACAAGGGCTGACCCTTCCAAGCCCCAAACAGGCAACCAAGGAACACCTTTGACTAAACCTCTTCCCTGCACACAACCCTCCGTGAGTCCCTAGTGTCCGCAGATGAAAGCTCAGCTTGCTCACTGTGGCCTACACCATCCTGGGTGAGCACACCCTGCCTTCCTGTACGACAGCCTCCTGCTTCAGTCCACGCAGTCCATTTCCCCTGCTCACGACACCTTGCCTTGGGGAACTCCCCTAAGTCCAGCCCTAGGAATGAGGCCACTTGAGAGTTGCAGTGATTGGCTCCACGAGGGCCACTGGACTTATCTGGGCCACAGTCTCCAGCTGCAAGTTGGCATGAGGAACTTTCTGCTGAGACACAAAGCTGCAGCTTGGAACCGCTGGGGTCCTCATTCCCACCAGGGAGTGCCTATGGCGTTCAACTACTAGAACGAAACACACACTGCGCAAAGTACAGGCGGGATGGTTTGCCCCCTGGATCCAGCCACCCCTGAAACAGGCCACCCCTGGACTATTGTGTAACATAAGCTAATGTCTTTTGTTTCCGTAGCTGGATTAGTAGTCCTAACGCAGCGCTTCTCACCCAGTTCTCCCCACACCCCTAAAATAGCCACACTGAGGAGCCTCACAGTGAAGACACACCATGCACCCCACACTTGCACACTCTAGCCCTGGGCATACCCAATGCCTGGCCAACTCCTTCTCATCCTTCGCAACCCGACTCCACACCTGCTCCCCCCCTCCCCCCACCTTCTGGGCTTCCCAAAGCACCGGCTGCCCTAGTATTTGTGTCGGAACACAGATCCCCCGCAAACAGGGGCTCCCCGCGTCTCCGAGTCCAGTGCTGGGCCTGGCAGGGAGTAGGCACCGGTCAATGACTGTTTATTGAATAAATGTACTACTGGAGTAAGAAGTGGCTTAGAGTCCAGTATAACATGTGGGCGGGCTTGTGATCGGATGAATGGGGGGGTCCGAGATAGGAACTGGGGGCCTCATGGATGAGGCCGAGTTCTGTCCTGCCCTCTTCCACAGTCGCCCTTGACCCTCACACCCCCACTGCTCCCATTCTGCAGATGAGAAAACTGAGGCTCAGAAAGGAGAGGCCGCTGGCCTCGGGTCACACACCTCCTCTCTGTCGGATGGCAGGTGAGGGCAGGGAAGGAAACCCCAGGATCAGCGTGGGGGGGCGGGGAGGGACTCGCCTAAGTTTATTGGGCAACAGGCTGTGAGGGGGCGGGAGGCTGACAGGAGGAGGGTGGGGTGTAATAACTTAAAAACCGGAGGTGACAGCGGCAGCTCCTCAGGAGATCTCTGCAGAGGGGCAGGAGTGGGGTATTCACAGGGATTTGTACAAAGGGGCCCGCGCCAGCCTGGGGCAGGAAGGGGAGTTCGAGCATGAGGAAGGTGGAGGGGAAGGAATCTGTCTCTCTGACCCCCACTTCCAGCCCCTCCCCCCCAATTCTCCAGGCTTTAGGCTCAGCAGCTCTTCCTGCCCAGGCTCGAGGCTTACTTCTTGAGCTGTTGGGAGGAACAGGAGAGTTTCCTCGGTTTCCCTTTCTGCTCCACCCTGTCCCCAAAGTCTCCTCAGGTGTGCCACGGCAGGGCGAGGGGGGACAGGAGGGGCTGGAGGCTCCAGGAGGGTGCCAGTTCCCCCTGCTGAGCCGCCCAACTCTTGTCTCCTGCCCAGTGACCCCGGAGAACAGCGGAGGGATGCTCTCTGCCCCCAAATCGAATTCGGGAAAAAACTGAAGTGATGACAAAGAGACCCCTTCCCTGACCCCTCTCCCGCCCGTAGAAGCAGGGGGCCGAGGAGGCGGCCGAGGAGGGACCCGGGGCGTGGCGGCTCAGAGCTCGAGGTCGTTGGAGATGCGGGTGACGAGGGTGCGGAAGGCCAGGGCGGTGCCCGCCACGCGGCGGAACAGAACGCCCCGCAGGCCGGGCCGGGGCAGCTGGCAGACCTCCACTTCGAAGTGGGACAGGGGCTCGGGCCCGCCCGCACCCCCGTGCAGGCAGGCCAGCAGGAACGGCTGTGGCTGGCGGCAGCGGCAGCGGGCGGCCGCCGTGGCCTGGCGCAGAGCTGCCATCAGGGCCTCGGGAGGGCGCGAGCTGGTCAGTTTCACACTCCAGGGGAATCGGAGCAGCCGGGGGGCGGTTTCCGTTTGATCCCAAGGTAGATGGCAACTGCAGTGGACAGATGGAGGGTCAGCGGCGGCACAGAGGGGGCGGGAGCCCACGGCCGGGCTTGGGATGCTCGCCTAGATGTCCCCGCGAGAGCCGTCGCGCCAAGCCACTTCAGAGGGGCACACCTGCCCGGGAGGCGTGTCCCTCCTGCCCTGCCCCTCCCCCGCGAGGGGGCGCGGCCTGGTCTCCAGATCCTGGATGCGCGTGGAAGTGGCAAGGGCAACCGAATCGCCTCCTTCAAAGGGAGCTGCCCGCCCCGGAACCGCGGCCCCCATCCTGTGCGTCCGGCTGCCAGCAGCTCGCCGTGACTGGAAGTGAGAACAAAGGCCCTGCCGGGCTGGCCTGGCTGCTACTTGGTTTGTTTGCGAGAAACGTATTCCCGTCGGTGCTCTGTTTCCTATCGAACGCCACCTTCTCCTGGCAACGACCACCCCCACCCCCCAGGGCCCAGCGCCCCCCACGCTAGGCAAGCGGTTCTCGCTGACAAGCAGCAGTGCCCCTCGGGGGTCTCGGGAAGTTTCTGGGGACTCTGTGTCACTGTCTGGGGTGGAGAGCACGGCTGGCGCTGGGAGGGAGGTCAAGGGTGACGCATGTTCTGCAATGCCCAGGAGGGCCCGGCACAACAAAGAGGCATCCTGTGCGGAAACGGTTCCTCTTCGAGGCTCCGCAGTCCTTCCGGTTTAGGGGGGGCTGCCTCTGCCTCTCAACGCCAAGGGTGAGCACAGGACTCGCTCTGGCCAGTGAGCGCCTGCCGCCTCCCTGACCACCGTGATTGGGTCACGGATGACCACATGACTAGGTCTAGCCAATCAGAGCACTCTTCAGGCCACCGGCCTTGGTTCTGGTGTGGGCATGTGACCAGCCCCAGCCAATGAGAGTCAGTCCTGGGACTTTGGCATCACTGCTGGGGAGACTCTTTCCACTGGGGTCTGTCTCTAACTCGTGTTGCCTCAAACTCAGGCAGATTTGGCAAGATTCAGTGCTGCCTGCTTTTGTAAACAAACTCTTCTGGAACGCCCGGTTGTTTCTGTGTTGACTATGTCTGCTTTTGCCCTGCAACTGTACAGCCGAACGGCTATGATAGTCTAAACTGTTTGCCATCTGGGGCTGAGCAGATGCCTGCCACCCACTGGCCCGGAGCTGCTGGCAACTGTTCTGCCACACGGATGAGAAGACAGAGGCGGTGTGGACTCAACAGGGCGGGCAGTGGTGGTGGACGGAACTGGCTCAAGTTAAAGATGGTCAAAGGATGGTATTCATGGCAGGGGGCTGAGTGTAAGAGCTGGTGCAGAGGGGTGGGTCTTGTGGGATGAGGCTCAGGTGCCAAGGACCTGGTGGGACGGGTCTGAGCAGCAGGAGGGGCTTGTCTGGAGCCAGGGGTAGGCATGTGCACTCACCTTGTGACCTCAGGTCCCCCGATTCTCTCAGGTTCGTCTGCGACCCTAGGGCAGGGGAGAGGGGGCAGTGTCTAGTTGGGGCGAGGGGCTCCTCCTCCCCTTCCCGCTGCCTTCAGGACTCTGGGCAGCCCGTCTCCATCCTGGGTCCCTCCCCGCTGGCTGGGGAGGGCTGAGTCGGGACCCGATCTCACTCTGTTCCAGAAAGGGAGCCCCTTCTGGAATGGTTAGTGCAGGTGATAGGAAAGGTACGGAGGAATTTGGAAGGCAAGAGAGAAAGGGGAGCGGGCAGAGACACACACCTCCGTGCAGGAGACACACACGCAGCCCCCTTCAGGCTCTGCTCACAGGACACCTCCTCGGTGAGACCTGCCCCTCCCTTCCCCAGGCTCCCGACTCCCCTTTCCCCGCTCTGTGCACCTCCTTAGTACCTGTCACTCCCTGACCTCCGGTATATGTCACTTGTTTACTATCTAGTCCCTCGGTAGAAAATTGGCTGTGCCTGGGCAGGGCCTTACGCATTTAGTTCACTCTCTACTCTAGGGTCTAGGATGGTGCCAGGCACACAGTAGGTGTTCAATGAATATTAATAATAAGAGCAAACACTTAGAAAGCATTTTCCAAGGCAAATTTCTAAGCTTAGTCCATTTTTAGTTCACACAAAAACCCCATGGGGAAGGTACAGCCCCATTTTTCAGAAGAAGAAACTGAGGCCCAGAGAGGCTGAGTGACGCTAATGGCCACTCAGCAGAGCTGGACGTCTGAACTGGGCAGCCCAGGCCCAGAGGCCAGATCACTGATTATTACATGAACAACAGACCCACTTACACACCCCCTACTCCACTCACAGAGCCCCCCACCTTCCGCACATACAGACCAGGCATGCGACCGGAGGCAGAGCCAGGGAGCACAGAGGGTGGACGGGAACTTACTGATCTTGGATCCCTGGGGCAGAGAGGCGCCCGAAACGCAGCGGTTAGAGTTCTGCCGTTTAGAGGGATCGAGGGTAACCCTGCAGTGTGAGGAGGGAGGCCAGGGGTGTGGCGGAGGCGAGGACGACGGGGAGGAGGGCGAGAAAGAGGAGGAGGAGGGCAGATGTCAGGTGCAGGAGGCGGAGCAGAGCAGGAGACAGGTTAGGCCCACCCGCCCACCCCACCCCACCTCCTCATCCCCCCATGTTCCCTGGGGCTCACCTTCGGGTCAGTTTGGAGGTCAGCTTGGTGAAGAGGTTGGTGGTGGGGCGGGGTCTCCCGGCGGGCAGGGGTGCGGCCTCATGGGCCAGTGTGGGAGAGGCGGGGGGCCCGTTCTGTACACCCCCGCCTCCCCCGCCCCCTGCCCGCCGGTCCCGGACCTGACCACCGTGGAAGGTGCTGCGGATGGTGGAGCCGCGGGCCAGGCGGCTCCGCTCCCCTGATGGGGGAGCCAGGCTGTGACTGGAGGGGGAGGCGGGGGGTACCCGTGGGGTACCCGAGCTGTGGGCAGAGAGGGAGAAATCAGAATCTCAAGGCAGGTCAGGGCCCCGGTCCCTCCTTGTACTGAGCCCGCAGATGCAAGCACCTGGCGCTCAGAGGCAGGCTGCGCCCTGCACGACTCCCTTCCCCTCCTGCGACAAGAGTTTACCAACTCTTCTCCCCTCCCGGGCCATTTGTCTACCAAACTGCCCCCCTGGCGCCCATCTTCCCTGTTTTACTCCTGGTAACCCCAAACGCTACAAACAAGAGCGTTGAACACGGCCACCCAGCCAGGGACTACATTTCCCAGCCTCCCCTGCAACTCTGAAGAGTCATGTGACTACGCTCTGCCCAACCAGACAACGTGGAATTGTTTTGTGCCATTTCTAGGTCACGCTCCCCAAAAGACTGCGGTTTGTCCTTCATCCTTTTTCCACCCTTTCTGTTGGTTGGGAAATGGTGGTGACTAGGGCGGTGGCCTCAGACCCAGAGCTGCAGCCTCAAGAGGAAACAGGCATTTCAGCCTGAGAGGTGGCTGGCTGTCACCGAGGACGAAGCCTCACCTCACTTAACCACCGTACTTTGGGGTCTCTTTTTCCCAGGAGCTGAGTCTATGCTCTAACTGCTACAGTTCTTGAGCAGACCTGGAAGGCCGTGCACTATAGTGGTGACAAATACAGACTCTGGGTCAGTCTGCAGCCTCTGCTCCTTGAACCATCAGAGGTGTGACCTTGGACAAGTTACTTAACTTCTCTGTGCCTCGTTTCCTCAGCTGTGAAATGGAGGATCTACTTCACAGAGTGCTAGGGACACAACAGACACTGGGTGCCCCCAGTGGAAGCCGGGGGCAAAGAGAATCAGTCCCGGATTACAGGGGAGGCTCAGGGACTGGCCGGGGGTCATCCTGCCAGCAGAGCGCAGAGGCAGGAGTCGAACTCTGACCTGTACAGCCAGTCACGGTCCAGTCACCCGCCTGCTCTGCCCCCGCCCCCCCGCCCCGCCACTGCCAAGCAGTAACACCTCTGTTACTGGACTTGAGCTCCCCACTCCTGGACTTGAGCTATGATGTGAACCAACTCATTCCCTTTTTAACTCCAGCCAGTCAGCACGAGCTCCCTCCCTTGGCAGCTGAGACCCAGGCAAGCAGGCCTGCCAGGCAGCCAACCAGAGGAGGCTGAGGCTGCGACATTCTGGGGCTTCTCTCAGGTTCTAAAAATGGATCATTCAAGAAAATCAACTCAGGTTCCCAAGGTTTGTAGGCGGAGAATAAGGGGGTGCGGGTGGGGGAGGGGTACTGCTTTCCTGGAGCTGATGACTAATTAATTAAGGGGGGAGGAACTCAGGGGGGCTGGAGGGGCATGGGTAGATTCTGCCAGGGGAGGGGCAGACATAGCTCTTTTCTAGGCTCTGTGCCACCCCATCCCCAGTGTCTCTCATTGTAGGTGGAGGGCCTGCTCCCCCACACCCTACTCCCTACAGCTGCCCCCCACGTACCTGTTTTCTTTGCCATTTGGCAACAGGGACGGGCGCTCAGCCCCTGGGCGTTCTGTGCAGACGTAAGTGTTCCTGCGGGTCATCATGCTGGGGGGGAGGTTGTTCTGTGGGAGACAGGGCCAGGAGAGGAGTGAAGGGGCAAAGGGATACCCTACTGCCCCCTCACCCTCTCTGGGCTCCCTTGTTAGCAACAACAGGGGCCTGTGTGAACTGAGTCAGAGCAGACCGATGGTTGCTCGAGGCTACAGCACCCAAACACAGGAAGGCTTAAAAGGCCATCCCAGGGATCTAGGCTAAGGGTCACGGGGGCCACTGGGGCTGAGGGGAGCCAGGTACCGAGAGGTCGCAGGTCAGTGAAGGTTCCCAGGGGCAGGCTGGTGGACCCCTCTCCCAGCCCTACAGCACCACCCAGTCACATCAGACTTGACTACGTGTGTGTTCACGCAGCTCTTAGGCTCTGTGCAGGCGGTCTCAACTGCGTGATCACCTCCCCCCAACTCATTGCCACTCATCACCCCCAGGGGCCCCCCAAGGGCTGCCCACTGCAGGCTGGGCACTTTGTATTGTTGGCATCTGTTCACATATCCATCTCCACCCCACACTGGACTCTGAGGATGGGGAGTAAGATATCAGGAAGGGTTCCCTCTCTTTCCATCCTCCTAAGTTTGCCTAAAATGGGTATTACTGCTTTTTTCAGAGTTTGGAAGAATCCCACCAGTTGGAACCACCTGACTCTAGAATTTTCTTTATGGGCAAGTTTTAAATTACAGATTCAATCCCTTTAACAAGGATATAAGTCTGTTCAGGTCTTCGATTTCTTCTCATGTTAGTTTTGGTTAAACTGTATCTAAAGGTTGGTCTATTTCATCTACGTAGTCAAACATGTCATCCTAATATCTTTTCCCCATCTTTTTACATTAGGAAAAAAATTCTTTTTCAATTCTGATACTGGTCATTTGTGTTGGCTGTCTTTGGCCTAATCGGTCATGCTAGGGGTCTGCTCTTATCCATCTTTTCAAAGAACAATTTTGTAACTCTGGTGATTTTCTTCAGCGTACAGCTATGTCCTCTTATTATTGACTTTGTCTCTGTTATTTCCTTCCTTCTACTTTTGGGGGTGCTAATTAACTGTTTCTTAGCATCTTCGGGTGTGGTTTACCTAAATAAGAATAATCGCTCCTATCCATCAAGTGCCCACTGAGCCAACACTGGGGGAAGTACTTTCTGTCCAAGATCCTGTCAGTGACCCAAGTGCTTTGACAGGCCCATTTCACAGGGTAGGACAGTGATGCGAAGAGAGGTGACGTCCCCTACTCAAGGTTACACGGCTCATCAATGTTATTCAGACTCTGGTCTGTGCGACTTCAAAGTCCTGACCACCTCTCTATCACCTGCTCCCACCCCTGTCTCCCAATGTAGAGGCTATTTGGGTTCCCACAACCTGTACTGTACATTTCCAGGAAGCTGCAGAAGCAGGAGAACCAACCCACATTCCCCAGACTCTTCTGCAGCTCAGTTTCTGCACCTAAAAGGGTTCTGCCAGTCTCTGCACTCACAAGTATGTAGAAGGTGGAAATAGGGTGTCAGCTGCCCTCTTTTCCTTTCCGCTTATAAGGCAAGGTGCTGAGATCACAGTCTTTGCTAGAGCTGGCCGCCAGTGCCTGTTCTCTAGAGCTCTGGGATCCTCCTGGTAGAGGATGGGGTTTCTGATTCTCGGACTGCAGCTGCGACTGTGAGTTCTTGAATTCAGCAGTGGCGGAAGTGGCTTCAGAGGTGGCAGCTCCCTTGGCAGGTCAGTTCTGCTGTGTGTATGTGTCATTCCTGTGGTCTAGCCACTGGCTGCTCCTCCAGGCCATCCTACAATTTGGTAAGCACCACACCTAACTCCCTATATTAAATCCTTCCTCCCAGAAGCAAGGCTAATGCTTCTTTTAGACACTGACTATTAAGTTATATACTAGCATTAAGCTTAAGTTCAGGCAGAGAGAATTTAAAAAATGTCGAATGAATGAGCAGATATGACAGGGGTCCCCTGTGGAGGTCTAAGGAGCAGATGTGAAATGACAGGGGGTGAAAATGACAACCAGGTGGGACCTGGGGGCTGGGCCCCCAGCCTTGGCCACTCACAGGCGTGCTCGTGCTGTCCTTCCGCCGCTCTGGGATCTCTGCCTTGTTGGGGTTGTGGGCACTACTGACCATGGGGCTCGAGGGGGGTAGCCCTCGGCTCCCACTGCCAGCAGCACTGCAGCTCGCCTTCCGGCCTGGCAGCCGTTCCTCCTTCAGCTCTGTCTCCCCTGTGCTGGTCGGGCTGCGCTTGGGATGCAGGGGTGCAGGGGAGGGGCCACCTGGTAAAGGGAGGACATGATCAGAGCTGGTATCCTCTGCAAAAGCCAAAACCTACTCCAGCGGACCCCGGGAACCTTAGAATTCCTTGCATTGGCTATAAAGGCCTTTCTGACAATATCTGAACAACAGACAATGACCGAGAAATGGCACACAAATGACACGATACACATATGGGTTATTCTTGCATTGTACTTTTAAAGGCCAAAAGACTGGGAACACCCAAAAGGCCCCCAGTAGAGGAATAGTTAAATACAGCCATGCACCCCTTAACAATGTTTTAGTCCACAATGCAGTGCATGCATGATGGGGGTCCTGAGAGGCTCTACCCTCCAGCGCAGGTTTGTGGCAGGCCTGTCCACCTCAGTCTGGGTAATTATGCCTTATGATGGCACAAGGACAAACTGCTAAGGACACATTCTCAGAATGTATCTCTGCTGCTAAGTGACACCTGACTATAAGCCAGGGTATTTCCACTCAGTGGAATACTATGTAGCTATAAAGAAGAAAAAGGTAGTTCTTTCTGTATCAATACAGAATGATCTTCAAGATATAATGTACATCTCAAAAGATGAAGTCAGATAAGAGGCTATGATTTGTATAAAAAAGGGGGACAGGGCCTCCCTGGTGGCACAAGGGGTTAAGACGCAACACTATGAAGCTATCTGCAGCCACTGCAGCACGAATTCGATCCCTGGCCAGGGAGCTACCCACATGGCACAGCAGACCTCTACTGACTTGCCCGCTGCTCCCCTTTGCAGTGTACTTTGGTCAATCTGCCTGTTCTGCTTCCCACTCTGTGTCTGGTGAATCCTCTCACCCGCCCCCGCACTCTGAACTGTACCCTAGCTCTTATATGCATAAATAAATAAATCTTTTTAAAAGCGGGGGAACAGTGTATCGATTTATCTGAATCTACATGTTTATAATGTTTCTTCAAAACACCACCACTTGCATTACAAGGGGAGAAGCTAATCTACTTCTAGTGCATTAACATATTAATAGTATATTCATATAGCTCTTTTTTGCTCCTACACAGATAACTATCTACCTTTTTATGAATAAAAATCTCTCCAAGGTATATAAAGTAAAAAGAAAGAAGAGAAAGAAGCCAAAACAAAAGAATACACATAAAGCTGGTCACAGTGGCTGCTCAGTGGCGAACTGGGTACCGGGAGATGTGTAGGGCGGAGACTTTTTTTTAATCTCTACCCTTTTCCTACTTTCAAAATTTGAAGTGTGTGACTGTATTCATTTCAAAAACAGAACAAAACAAATCTGGTCCCTTAGACTGAGGGATTGACGGTTTTAGAACAAGCAAATTAAATGTGTTCTAGAATATTAAAGCCTTAATGTTCAAAGTTCCCCAAACACAAAAGCTGACAGCTCTGTTGATGGACACTCACCCGTCAACAGTGTTTTACCTTGAGAACCCCAACTCTCAGAGGTCTGTGTGTGTGCAGGGGAGTTAAAGTTTACCATGTTCTAAACACAGGATGTTGGAGTCCCTTCTTAGGCATTTTCTGGCCCAGTGTTGTTACTTTCCCGATAGGAAAAGGGTACCCAGGGAAGGAGAAGGACTTGACCATCCGGACCCCTGAACTTCTTACTCAGGGCTGATGCCGAGTTTCCCTGACACCCCACTCCCCAGGCCAGTGCCCACCCCAGAATAAAGGCCTGTTCTGCTAGAGAGGAGCAGGCAGAAATAAAGGAGAGTCAGAAAACGCTTTGGCAGCTCCTCAAACCATTCAACATATTGTTACCATGTGACCCAGCAATTCCGCTCCCAGGCATGTGCCCAGGAGAAAGGAAAACATATGTCCACATGGAAACTTGTACATGAATGTCATAGCAGCGTTATCTGTGACAGCCAAAGGCAGATGCTGTCTTTTGTCCATCGGCTGCTGAATGAATACACCATTGTGGTCCAGCCACATAATGAAGTTTTGGCCAATCAAAAGGGATGAAGTACTGAGCTAGCTAGTCCACACAAAACCAGACCTGCAAAACATTAACCTAAGCGGAAAGAGCAAGACACACGTAGTGTAGGATTCCATTATATGAAATGTCTCACAGGGCGAGATCTGTAGAGACAGAAAGTAGATTAATAGTCAGCAGGGGCTGGGAGTGGGGTGCATGGGGGATCAGAGGCCAGTGGCTAAGGATTGTACAGTTTCTTTCTGGGATAAAAAAAATGTTCTAAAATTGAATGTAGTGATGGTGGCACAGCTCTGGAAATACCACTGGATTGCATACTTTCAAGGGGTGAATTGTATGGTATGTGAAGTATGTCTCAATAAAGCTATCCAAAAATAGTGAAGAGGGTTAACACTTGATGAGGGTGTAGAAATTAGAAATTTCCAGGCCTAATCTATGGTGGTGGTGGTGTTGATGGGATCCTTTCATTTTCTGCAGTTAGCTGTCAGTTGCAGAACAGGGGTTCCAATCAGGGGCCCAAGTCCCTTTCTACCAGTAAGTCTTCCCTCATCTCAGAGTGGAAGAGTGAGGCCAGAGGGCAAGCTCTCAGCAGCTACTTTGTACAATGTGTCCTTCTGTGTCCCAGTCACAGTGGAATAATCCCACTGGGCCCTGGTATCAAAGTTTCATCCCTCACAAGTGGACCAAAGAGATTCCAGTTACCATTTGGGCTGATCTCTCAAACCAGCGAGGAAGGCGCTGAGATCCGGATGGGGAGAAAAGGTAATGTGAGATAAGTGAGAGGAAGCAAGAAGACAAGAGGAGCAGGGAGGAGGTAAGACACGGAGATTGTCTGCTCTGGATCTGGCTGCTCTTCTGGTTTCTGATCCCTTCCCCAGCCCGTCTGTGCATTCCTGCCCATGCATCTTAGCTTGAGCAGGTTCCTGTTGCCCGCCAGCCTGCCCTAACATGGATGGGGGCTGGGGTGGCATGGGAGGGCATGGCCCAACACTCACAGAAGTCGCTGTGCCTGCGCTGGCGGTGGTAGGTGGAGGAAGAACTCCGCTGCCCTTTGCTGTGGCTGGTGCCTTTGCTGGAGCTTGTTCCATTGGTGGTGTCGCTGGGCGCCCGCACCCGTGCCAGGGCCAGCCCAGGGGCGCCCCGGTCCCCACCCTCCTGAAGGAGGATGACAGATAAGGATCCCCACTCTTATGATCTCTCTGCCCCAGGAGTCCCCCAACCCTGGGTATCACGCATCCCAATATCCCTGGCGCCTTCTGACCTCAGTCTTCCTGCCCAGCAGGAGGTAGGTGGCGGTCACTTCGTTGTATTTCTGGCTGGTCAAGGCCTCTTTGATTTCTTCCCGCGTGTAGCCCATACCCACCATCACCTCTGTGGCCAGGGGATGAAGAAGAGGTTCAGTCTCCCCAAACCCTTCCCTTCTATACCTTTCTGCATGTCCCACAGCAACGCCTGCTCTTTGGTCTGCTGGTCATGCCCTCTTTGGTCAGCAGCGCCCTGATTCTTCCAGAAGAACATTCCCTATCACACAGAACACCTGGCAGACTCCTGCCTGCGACGAGCCCTGGCCTCAGGTCTGGGCCACCAGAGTGCTCCATACCCAAAGCCGCACTGATTGGGTCAGTGTGGGCACATGCCTTTATTCTGACCCATCAGAGCATTCTACCCTTAAGGCCACACTGATGGGTTCAGGGGTAGCCAATGGGCACCAACCTGAAACTTGTAATGAAACATTAGGAAAGTGGTTTCTCTTCCTGAGGGGGTGTCCAGGTCACTAGGCTACGCTGTGCCAGCTTGCCTGGGAAAGCCACCACCACTGAGAAGATTCCCAGTAGCCATCTGGGAGCACCTGGATCCAGCTGTACCTGAAGGCGAACATGCTCTGGTCTTTTTAACTGTGTGACTGACTAACAACATTATTAGGTAAACTCTGAAATTGCTGGTGCTGACAATTTCTGACTTATAAAAATGGCAGCTTCATATGGTTTAACCTATTATTATTACCAGGTATATGAGACCAGAGTGGCTTGGCTTTTCTGTTAGTAGCAACCAAGAACGTCCTGATTAACATAACCAGCTCTGAGGCCCCAGTTTCCTCAGTTATAAAATGGAGGATTACTGGATGGTTTCTAAGGTACTCTTCTAGAGTTTAATGCTTTAAAAGCCAAGGGTTTGAGGATTCCAGGTAGGAGGGATCAGGACGAAAGGGGGTGGTGGGTGACACACATGCCACGGTGTGGGGGGGTTTCCCCAAACAAGCAGATTGCCGATGACTTGTGCCAAAACTCTTCCAGAAGAGATCTGTGATTTTTGTGTCTTAATAAATCACAACTAATACACGTCAGCACCTATGCCTGACGTAAGTGCACTATGTAGACCAACTGAATGGTCCCAACAACCCCATGAAATGGGTTCTATGACTATCCCATTTTGCAGCTGAAGCATGAGTTGCACAGAGAGGGGAAGCCACTTGCCCAGGGTCACACAGCTAGAAAGCAGCAGTGCAGGTGTCACAGCCCAGATTTGTCTGCTCTCCCTCATGGCCTTGCAGGCCTCTCTTGCCAAGTGGGTAGGTGCCGGGAAGCACCTACCCCCGCCTCTGTGGCCCCCTCTCCGCAATCCTCACCTATTCGCTTAGTGTCCCCAAAGTCTTCCTCAGGCTCTGTGTATGGCTTCAGCTCCTCACCCTCATAGCCGATGTTGATCCATTTGTCTTTCATGATTTGCTGCAGGAACAGGGAGCAAGACAGTGAAAGGAGCAAGACGGATGTCAGAAGAAACTGGGAAAAACCCAGCTCCCCACTTCCCAGGAGGGCCCTCGAGTGGGGCTACAGGGCCTGCACCCCACCTCAAGGGCTAACACCCCAGAGCTGAGGGCTGCCTCACAGGCAGCACCTCCTCCCCGCTCCTGCACCCCCCTGCTGGAGCCTCCTGAGGCCACCCTACCTCCTCCGCATCATCTGGGTCCCTGGCACCCTGTAATCATCCTAGGAGCTCATTAGCTAATTACTGGCATGGCGGGGAGTGGGCGAGGCTGCTGGAGGGAGGGGGGCTGGGAGTCTTTTTCTGGGCTGCCTGTCTCCCCCCACCTTCCAGCAGGAGATGGGAGGCAGGACAAGGGAGGGGACAAGGGCAGGGCCAGAAGGCTGAGGCGGGAGGGCGCGGGGCTCACCTCGAGAGTACAGCGTTTAGCTGGGTTCAGCACCAAAAATCTCCGCAGGATGCTCTCACAGTCTGTCGACATGTAGAAAGGGACCCGGTACTTCCCTCTGAGGACTCGCTCCCGCAGCTCCTGGAGGAACAGGGTTACTGGGGGGGGTTCTCCTGCCCCGGCTCCCCACCCATTTTACACACACACACTTTCCTCTTGCCCAACCCCCGAGGGCAACAGGAGCTCCTCATCCCGGCCCTGAGCAGGTCAGCTTCCCCCCACCTAGACGCAGCAATTAAAAAAGAAGTTTTTGAAGCTACATTAACTTTGGCACAGGAGATAGAGGCCTCAGTCCCCTCACCAGGAGCACGACATGCCCCTCACATGCAGGCTGGCGGGGCGAGTGCTGGATCAGAGGCTGAGCTCGTGTCTGCCCAGAGCAGACCTTAGGTTTATGGAGGGAAGAAAGTGGGGCTCCTCCCACACCCCTCGAACCTTCCCATCCTCTCCCAGACGAGCCCCCCTTCTGAAGAGCCAGGCGGTGCTGGCGGCCTCAGAGGAAGCAAGGATGACTGCTGACCTTTGCGTTTTGTAAAGGGTCTTTGATGAGGAGCCTGCCAAGGCCGCAGAAGAGAAAATAAACTGCATGCCCCATGGTGTGGCAGCCCTGGAGAGCCCCTCCATCCTGAATAGAGGCTGAGGGAGCACAGGCGGGGGTGGGGGGTGCCAGGAGCGCCCCACTGGGGCTCTCTCCTGCAAGGGCAGGAAGAGGCCTGCGCCTGGGAGCCTGTGGGCCCGCAGCTGATGCCAAAGGGTCATGAATATTGAAGAATGACGGGCATCGTGTTCAGAGCGCACGCCCCAGACAGGCCGCGTTCTCCGGCTTTACCCATCATCACATCTGTGCTCCTGGTGCCGGAAGGCTGGGGCGAGAGGCCCATTTTTCTGAAGAGGAAACTAAGGCCTAGAGCAGCAAAGTCACTTCTGCTGGGACTGTGCAAAGGCAGAGCCAGGGCTCTAAGCCAGGCGAGAGGGTCTCAGGGCTGCACTGGGAACCCCTAGCAACCCCCCACCCCCGTCTCACGGTGGTGAGAAGTCCTCAGGCCACCAACGCCACCAGGGCGACCTGGCCCCCGAACCGGGTCGGTGAGGCTGAGGGCTTTCTACCCCCAGACTGGCTGGACCTGGGCTCTCATTTTTTTTAGTATTTATTGAAGTAACATTGTCTGAGAGCAACATATAAATTTCAGGCGTGCAACTTAACACACACCTTGATGTCCCCATAGAGAGGTGGGGACAGAGGCCAAGAAGGGCCTTGGATGAGGTCGCTCAGCAAGGAAATGACAGCTGGGGACCTGCCCCAGCGGGCCTGGAGAACCTGGAGGGCAAACCAGGGCAGCAGGAGGTGACAAGGGCCTGGGGGAGGTGAGACGCCAGGCAGCCCTTTGAATTGGCCTCCTGGCTTCATGCGTGGGGCTGGGAGAGCTTATTTTTGTGAGAGGCCACACTGGGCAAGTCTGATCTCAGCATATCTCTGAATAGCTGCTACCAGGATGGCAACGGCCAGACCTCACCGAACAGGGGTCCGGCCGGGCACCCAGGGGTCGGCTCCTCCGCCAAGACCACGGTGAAGGTGGGGCTCCCTCCTCCTCAAGGCTTGGGTCTCGGCTCTGAGGGCCCAGCCCCACGGACTTCTCCGGCCTCTAGGCCACAGGGAGCAGGACTGAGCTCCTGTGGCACCATTCCCCCCCTGAACCCGAGGAAAGGCGGACGACCCAGAACAAGGGAGGGCCTGCAAGGTAACTGGCCCGAACTCGCCAGCCAGGCCTCGTCGGGAAGAGGGGAAGGCCGACGCCCATTCTGGGTGAAAGGAGACTAAAGAGACCGGGCAACTGCCGCTGAAATCTGAGTACGGGCCGTGGGTTAGAGGCCAGGGCCTCATCCATGCTGTTTCCCAAGCGCAAAGCCATGGACGAAATGCCCAGTCCCCGGAGACGCTTGCCGACCGGAGCCTTTAGGGACAGAGGGACGCGGCGTACGCAACTAACTCCCAACGTCCTGACGGCAATGACGACGAAGCGTGTACAGACAGACACGCAGTTGCGGCAAAGGCTAGCAGCTGGGGCTGCTGGGAAGGGAACCGCCAGCTCTTCGAGTCTTGTGACCTTCTGGAGGCGGCCATCATTGCAGCATAGAAGTTCAAAGGGAAAAAAACACGCGTAGCCCACCCTGCATTTCCCAGGTCCCTCTGGGGCTGCTCCCCCGTCACACTGGCCAGTTTCTGACAGAACCGACGCTGCGTTCCTTATTTTGCTTTCTGCCTGGCTCTGTGCTGGAACGTGCGTCTGCGAGGGCCGGAGTTTTCCTGTCTGAAGCGTACAGCTCAGGAGGGCTCCGTCTCATCTCACCCCTGGGTTGTGCGAGCACCAGCACAATCGCTTTTAGATTAACTCTCGTCACTCCAAGAGAGCCTGAACAGAGCCCCACCCTCAGGGCCTCCTCGAATCAGCCGTCTTGATGGCGCTGCCTGTTCTAGACCGTCACAGAAATGGGATCCTATGTGAGTGGCCTTTGGTGACTGTTTTCTCACTCGGTGTGTTTATGAGGCTCGCAGCGTGCGTGAGGGCAGGGCCTCTTTTTCCTCTTTTGTTCACGCAAAGCCTAAAATGGGCGAACCCATCAACAGTGGGCAACAACCACAGTCACGCATCCTCAATGGAGGCGGTCTGGGAGCAGCCACACGTCTTTTGAGGGGGGCCCACCATCACGCAAACCTGGATGGACGGCCTCCTAGACACCTGCGCTGGAGGGTGCAGCCTCCAGGGGCCACTATCATAGGGGCATGTGATTGGGTGATGCCAAGTACGTACTGAGTGAGCGAAGGAGTCAGGGCCTGAACCCAAGGCTGCCAGACACAAGGCTTGTGCCCATTGGGCCCCGCCCTGTCATGTGACCTCAGGCCAACCCCGTCCCTCTGCAGAAGAGGTGGTGGAGGGGAGAGTAGGGGGCCAACTGTGGGGGCTGGGGAGAAGACCCCAGGAGAGTAACACCCCCGCCTGGCAGTCCCACCCAGCCCCGCCCAGCACCTTGAGGTTGTGCCCATCGAAGGGCAGGGAGCCGCTGACGAGGGTGTACAGGATGACGCCGAGGCTCCAGATGTCCACCTCCGGCCCGTCGTACTTCTTGCCCTGGAACAGTTCCGGGGCAGCGTACGGGGGACTCCCGCAGAACGTGTCCAGCTTCGAGCCCAGCGTGAACTCGTTGCTGAAGCCGAAGTCGGCAATCTTGATGTTGGCCTCGGCATCCAGTAGGAGGTTCTCGGCCTGCGAGGGAAGAAGCGGGCAGAGGGTAGGACTCGCGGCCAAGGCCCTAGCGGACCTGTGCAGCTGACGGGAGCACAGGCTCTGAGGCCCACCAGGACGGCAGCTTGCCCCTTCCCTTCTGCGTGACCTTGGCAGTGACGTCACTTAAATGAGTTACCAAAGAGGCTTAGAACAAGAGTTCACGCCCAGGAAGGGCGATCCGTCGTCGCTCTCACCCCCAACGTGGGCTGCAGAGCTGAGGGTCCTCAGCAATCTCTCACCCTCTCTGAACTTGTTGACCAAGCAGAAAACAACAAAGAACTGACCAGTCAAGACCCGTAAGGATGAAAACAATCCTTTTCGCTAGTACTTACTGTGCATGTCGGCACGAGGACTTGGTGGGCTGATTCATGTGAGTGGTTGCACAATGTGGGGTTGAGAGGAAAGACCCTGGGGGGATCCCCAGCAACACCACTCACTTGCTATGTGACTGTGGATGGGTTTCCAGACACCTCTGTGCCTCAGTCTCCCCGTGTGTGCACCTAGGCCATGGGGGAAGGCGCACGGCGCCTGCCATGGCACCTGGGATGTTGTTAGCACTCAAGTCACACATTATTGGTATCAGGTTTTGCCTACTTTAATTTTTTAGCGCCCTAACTGGCTTTGCCAAGTGATTCATGAATTGGGCAGCACCCCATCAGCAAGCACAAAGAGGAAGTCTGCTGTTTCCGCGTGAAACCGCCATGTCACAGGCGAGGAAACTGAGGCTGGAGAGGCCCCCCTCCCTTGCGCAAAGCAAGAAAGAGGCAGTGCTGGAACCCAAAAGGCTGCCTTCTCCACGGTCTCGCAAGAAAGGAGCCTCCTGTGTCCTTCTTCCAGCTTTTTCACGACAAATCAAGGCGTGGATCCACCCTTCAAAACACTGCCTCCCCTTCCTCACAGTCTCCCTACACCCTGGCTTATTTCTCTCTGAGGCACTGGAGGCTCTAGGAGGTTCTATAGGCCAGCCCCAAGCTCAGCCTCAAGTCTGGGTCCAAGGGCCACAAACCAAAACTCCCTTTGTCCTTTCCAGCACCTTCCACCAGGGGGCGAGCCTCTCCATGTTACTCTTCATGCTAAAATGGATAAAATAGAACCTCTAAGGTGCCGGCTTGGGGAAGGGTGTGTGCCCGTCAGGGGAGTTCAGGGGGAGTGTTCAGAACCCTCCACAGCAATTGACCAGTGGAGTTCTATATTGTTTTAAATCTAAGAATTCCAAAAGATTTGAAATTAAAAACAGTGAAACCTGGTTTATTGCTATAGGTCTCCTAAGAAGCAGTTACTTAACACAAGGACATAGCAAGTGGCACATAGTAGGTGCTCAAGAAATGGCAATGAGGACAACTGGATCGAATCAGGTGGATGTTTTTCTCTCATCTGAGATGAGAACTCCTTCGATGTGCGGCTCTCTCTGGGTGTGAGATGTGGAAAGGGGCCCTGGGGGACCTAGAGTTGCTGGCTGGGGGTGCCCCACGAGCTCCAACAGGTAGTGTGGGAGACAGTCTCTCCCCTACCTGCCACTCACCTCTGGGGTTCTCTCTCCAAGGTCCTTGTCTAGTTCTAAGATGCCTGTGACTCTAAGACCTATGAGACAGCGCAGCTCTGAGGCTCTAATATCTCATTTCTTGAAGATTCCTGAATGTTTGAAAGTTTGAGAGATGCCAAAGCTCTGGAGGCTGGGAGAGGACTGACTCTTCATGTGCTCCTGAGCCCTTGTCAAGCATGCTTGGACAGCCAGGTGTTCTAGAAACTCTGTTGCGTTCCCTGTGGTTCCCAACTCCTCCTACCCCCACCCCCTCCCAATTGCTCCCCCATCTGGAGGCCTGCTTTGGCTACAAAAGTTGGGGGAAAAAAATCAAGGGAACCTGGATGCCAAGAAAAGAGCTCGGGGAAGAAAGGGAGGAACGTGGTGGAGGGTACAGGGAAACCACGATGTGGGGGACTATGGTTCAGCTGCAGAGTGCACAGCAGGGTGGGGGCTCACCTTCAGGTCTCTGTGCACAATGTTTTTCTGGTGACAATAGTGTACAGCCGATACAATCTAGGGGGATGGAAGGGAAAGTCAGTTACTTGTGGCCCCCAAATCCTTCACCCTTTGGCAGAGACCCTGTGAACCCACTCACAACTGATCCCCCAGATGCCAGGCCTCCCACTCCAAGTTGGTCACAGCAGGAAATACCACAGGATCTGCAGAGACACATGCCCTCCCGGACACCGGACGTCAGGACACACACAGCAGGGACATCAGAACCAAGACGCCCCCACCCCGACTTCCACACCTGCAAACACATCAGAGCACACCATATACCCTAGGCGGATGGTGCCCCAATGTACCAGGGCTTAAGCACCCCACACTCAGCACAGCTGGAGAGTCCCAGATGGACACGCTCAATGGGAACCCTTCACCTAAGCAGAGCCTCACACCCAGCACCTCATGCCTGCTTGTCTTTTTAGCCTCGAACCTGCCACCCTCACACCTATACCTTCAAACACAGGCACCCTCATCCCTGGGCACCCTCACCCTGAACACCCTCACACCTGGGCACCTTCACACCTGCACCCTCACACTTGAACACCCTCACCCCTGGGGACCCTCACACCTGCACCTTCATAACTGGGCACCCTTACACCTACAACTTCATACATGGACACCTTCACCCCTGGACACCTTCACACCTGGGCACCCTCACCCCTAGACAACTTCACACCTGGGCACCCTCACCCCTGGACACCTTCACACCTGGGCACCCTCACCCCTGGACACCTTCACACCTGGGCACCCTCACCCCTGGACACCTTCACACCTGGGCACCCTCACCCTGGACACCTTCACACCTGGGCACCCTCACCCTGGACACCCTCACCCCTGGACACCCCTCACATCTATATTCCTCCTCTCACCCACATACCTGGGCACCCTCACACCCATATTCCTCCTGTAACCTACAGTACTTGGGTCCCCACACACCTGGACCCCCGCACTGCCACATCCCCGATGTCCACACATGGTACAAACTTGCCTCCCAACTTACATCCCCACCTCTGGGTCCCCTCATTGCTTCACCCAGGTTGCCACACGCTTTCACCCATACATCGACACACCTGAATACCTAGGCACCCACACCTATTTCCCATACACCTTCTAATCTGCACTCCTACACCAGCACACCTGCAGCTGCAGGTCCTCTCAGCCGCCTCCTACAAACGGGCACACCCTGGCACCCACACCTGACAGCTGGACATTCTCACACCTGGGCATCTGCACACCTGCATGCCCAACTCTCCAGTGACTTCAGTCCGGAACACCCCAGACTGACCCCCACCTCGCAAAGCCCAGTGTCCAGAGACAGAGGCGCCCCTCCCAGACTTGCCCACAGTCTTGACCCTGACCTGTCGAAACTTGGCTCGCGCTTCCTTCTCCTTCATGCGGCCATGTGACACGAGGTAGTCAAACACTTCTCCTGCAGGGCAGAGGCCGAGCGGGGGTCAGGGTGAGATGCCAGGGGCCAAGGGCACAGGGTGGGGCGGGGCGGGGCGGGGTCCTCACCGGCACTTGCATATTCCATCACCAGGTACAGCGTCTTCTCGGTCTCGATCACCTCAAAGAGCTTCACTGCAATGGTGGGAGGCGGTGGTTGGGGGTTTACACAGGAAGAGACCCCCCACCTACCCAGAGTCTGGAACTATGTGGCTGTACCGACCCTAACACCCCTCACTTGAGAACACTCTATGGCTCCCTCCCGAAGGCAAGATTTCCCAAACCCCTCAAGCCCAGTTTACCACCTTTTCCACTTTCTCACAAAAATGGCCAGGGATTTGGATCTGTTTTCTTCGCCTCTGTGTCTCCAGCGTCTAGCATGTATCAGCCATTCGACGTGCACTTACTGAGTAAGTGAACTACCCGATGAATAAATAAGGGCTTCACATCCGGACCAGGCTAAATTCCGCTTCTCTTGGTCAAGACCCTCCTCTCTTCCCCTCTGCCTTAGCGAGCGTGACAAAGATGATAAACGCTGCTCCTGCCCAGGCCCCATCACCAGGCTCTGCATTATTCTGCACCCACAATCTTACCCAATCCTCACAAGGCCCTTGAGGCAGGCCCTCTTATCACCCCTGTCCCAGAGAAGATTGAGGTTCAGAGAGGTTCAGTGACTTGCCCAGGGTCACACAGCAAGTGAGCAGCGAAGCGGCTCTGAGAAAACAGGCCTCTCTAACTATCATAACCACTAGTTCTCCTGCCCATCTCTCCCCACCCCTTCCCAAGTGCTGTGGCTGGTACCCCCACGCTCACGCCCTTCCTCTCCTCACCGATGTTGGGGTGGTTTAGGCCCTTCATGATACGAACTTCTCGGAATAGCTAGAAGGAAGAGAAAGATGAGGGTTGGTGGTTTCCAGGACCCTCTTCCCAGCCACAGTCCCACCCTGGTCCTCTCCCTGGGCATTACCTTCTGGAGGCTGCTGGGATTTAGTTGGGTTTTGTCGATGATCTTGATAGCAACCTACAAGTGGAAGAAGGAAGAGGGAAAAGGTCAAGGTACCACAGGCTCTGGAGCTGGGAAAGGTGCCCTGATTCAGATCACCCTCGGATGGCCATCCTTTGCCTCCCCTCTGTCCCCCACCCCCACTCTGGGCGATTCCTAGTGGACTGCAGGTGCGGGCCTCAGGACCTTTGAACGTGCTGTTTCCATGTGTCCAGCACTTTTCCCTATTGTACAGTAGGGCCTGGGTGGGGCTGCACCAGGACCTGTGTGTGAGGGTCACTGAGACTTTGAAGGGAGCCCTTTGCGATCTCAGATTAATTATCCATAGCTGAACTATGGGAAATAAATAATAATTGTAGGTAACATTTACCAGCTGGACATATGTGCAATATATCACAGTCTGTGTGCTTTACACATGAGAACTCTTTAAAACCTCTTAACAACCCTGTAAATGTTAGGGTTAACCTCATTTTATAAATGTTTTCTGGAAACTGAGACATAGAGCCATTTGGCCAAGGTTATGTGGCCAATAAGTTTGTGGGCTGGGATTTGAACTCATGCAGCTTGATTAAAAGAAAATGTGCATGTGCATGTGCACATACACACAATTTTTAAAAAAATGATGTATGTATTTATGCATACAAGAACTGGGGTGTAGGCCAGAGGTGTAGGGTAGGGGTGGTAGGTGTGAGGATTCACCAGAGACAGAGTGGGGAGCAGAAAAGGCGGATCCACTGAAATACTCTGCTGAAGGGAGCTGCACGCGAGGCAGGAGAGGTCCTCCGCACCGAGTGGGTTGTTCCTGGCCAGGCAGGGATCGAATTTGTGCTTCAGTGGCCGGTGACAGTCTGATAGTGCTGTCTTAAACCCCTGAGCAGGGAGGCCCCCCACACACGATTTTGAAAGAACTTTCATCGTGGAAAATCAGAATGTTACTGAATTCTCTTTATATACTCTTTAGCCTGTAGTTCGGTAATTTTTCCCCCCTAATTTCAATTTCACCTTGGTGTTAAAATTGAGTTTTACCCCAATGATAAACTAGTGGACTGCACATGTGGGTCTCAGGACCTTTGCATATGCTGTTTCCACATGTCCACCACTATCCCCTGTTGTACAGTAGGGCCTTGAGTTTATCATGAGTGAGGGGCTTTCAAAAGGTCTTCGTCTAGGGCCTCCCCGGTGGCACAGCGGTTGAGCGCTGGGCTGTGAAGCTGCCCGCAGCCTCTGCAGTGCTGGTTCAATCCCCGGGCGCCAGCAAGGGTCCCACATGGCGCACAGACCTCTCCTGCCGCGCCCGCTGCTCCCCTCAGCAGTATACTTCGGTCCTTCTGCCTGTTCTGCTCCCCGCTCTGGCTCTGGTGAATTCTCTCACCCTCCCGCGCTTCTGACTGTACCCCAGTGCTTGTATAAATAAATAAATAACTCTTTAAAAACAAAAAAACCCAAAAGGTCTTCATCTAGACCTAGGTCTACAGCTTCACCAAGGGGCTGGGGGACCCCTCATTCACCAACCTCCTTGTCCACCCTCCCTCTTCAATTCTTCCACTAGGAGGCTTTGTTTGCTTAGAAGCTGGTCCTCTCAAACCCCCCCAGAATCATGTCCAAGATCCACATAAGGGCTGACGTGTTCTTTGTGGGGGAGAGGGACCCTTCCCTTCCCTCATATTCTCACAAATGGGTTTTTAATTCTGTCAAGCACTTTTTATGCCAGTATTGAGACGATCATATGGTTTCTCTCCTTGAATCTGCAAATGTGGCGAAGAACATGAATAAATTGTCAATTTGAAAAGAACTGTGCATTCCCGGGACAAACCCCGCTTTGTCATCCCGCAGCTTCCTTTAACTGACTTGCCAGAGTCTATTTGCTAATATTGTGTGGAAGATTTCTGCATCAGCGCTCACTACGGTCAAGTTCTTGAGTCACACTAGCCCATCATTTCGCTTTGGGTCTGGTTTTGCTCTCATCTCTGAACTCGCACTTGTCATGAGCTGGGCAGGGAACCTCCTTTCTTTAGTCTCTGGAGGTGTTGGCATAACAGTGGAATGTGTGGCCAGGATTTGCCCATAAAAACCACTGGGGCCAGGCATCTTTGGCGTGTGGTGTAGACGGCGTGAGGGCAGGGAGCCCGGCAGGGGCCATCTCGCCAGTCAATCTAGGTTATGAGGTCTTTTTGCAACAGTGTCGCAATAATCCTTAGTATGTCCCCAGAGGTGGGGAGAGCAAGGAACAGTCTGTTCTCACCTCACGGTCACCGGAAGGTTTGGTGGACCCAAAGTCTATCATGCATCGAGAGGCGGCCCAGGTTGAGACACAAAGCCCCGGGAATTCCTCTTAGGAATACCTCGCGTGGCTCCACCTGTTACCTGAGATTTCCGACCATTTCAGGGTTGCCTGAAATTGGTTCTCTCCTCCCAACTAGCGCTGTTCCGGAAAAATCCAAGCCGCTGTGACCTGCCCCGGAGAAAGTCAGGGACTTACCTGAGGTCACACAGCACAGTGAGGGCCAAGCCTAGCCTCTCCCCACCTCCCAGAATGCACCTGCTGCTGGATCCTGTCCCAGCCGCAGCCCACCCCGCCCTTGCTCACCTCCCGGCCCGTGAGGATGTGCCGGGCCAGCTTGACTTTGGCGAAGTTGCCCTTCCCGATGGTCCTCAGCAGGCGGTAGTTACCCACGTGGGGCTGCTCCTCGGGACAGGAGGCGATGGAGTTCCGGCAGCGGGCACCCAGGGAGCGGCTGGACCAGGAAGGCCCTTTGTCCGAGGAGCGGCCACTGCCCAAGGTGCCATGCTAAGGGGAGACGGAGCGTGAGCAGTGGGGAGCGCTGGGCCAGGCCCACCTGAGGGCACTGTGGGCAGGGTGGGTAGCTCTGGCCACGGTCAGCGGCCCCAGGCCAGGGAGAGGCTGCGATTGGGCTCCCATCTCTCTAATAAAGAGACACTCTGGGCGCCCTATCCCCAATCAGCCTCTTCTTCAGCCCACCCCAGCTTCCTCTTCTAATGACTATACCTCCACTGGCGCCCCAACAGTTATTCCAAATACTGCAGCCCCCACCCCCAGTCGCTGTTGACCTCGATCTGGACCCCAGCAAACAGCCTCCGGGGGCAACACCTGGACCCTCGTGGCTCCCAACATTCTGTTTCCTCCATCATTGTCCCCGCGCTGCCCCCGAGCCCTATTCCAAACCCAGACGCCGATGCCGTCCTCCTGGGGTGCCCCCCCTTGAGCCCATCCCAGTCTCTTTGCCCCCAAACCTGCAGCCAACGGTCTGTCCCGTGGCCCTGACATTGTTTCCTGCCTTCTGTGGGAAACACTGTTGCCTGAGCACAACCCCCCACACCCAGGAGACACTGGAGACGCCACCCCCAGCTCCCACGCCTTCGGCCCTACTGTCCTCCACGTTCCTGCCACCCTGTCCCTGCTGGGCCTCTCTCCCCCGAAGGTCACCTGCCCGCTCCTGACGCCCTGCCCTGGTTGTCAGCCGCGGGGACAGGGCCTCCCTTTCAGGGCCGGGGCCCAGGGTGCTGCAGGTGACAAAGGGAGTCATGGGCTCCGGCCAAGTCAGCTCTGCTCAGACCCTGCGAGCCAATCCCGGGGCTCTTCCCAGGGCTGGGGGTGGGGAGCGAGGGGACAGAGGGAGCTGTGGAAGAGAGGAGGCGGGTGGGTAACGAGGAGGGCCCAGATGTGCACCTGGCAGGGGACCTGCCAGGCCGCTGAACCTCATGATGTTCTATCAGCCCCAATTCATAGGAAGGGAAACTGAGGCCCAAAGCCTCCATTTTGGGGTCTGGAGCTAAACCCAGATCCTTGACCCCAGAGCTGATGCTCTTCCCCGTCTCTGCCCCATCCTGCCCCACACTGTGTGAAGCGGGCTCACCCCGGGTCCCGCCTGCGAGGGGCCTCATGGACACTGAGTTCCCACCAGAGTCCGTCGCGCCGGAACCCTCACGTTCCAGAGAGGAAACCGAGGCTGGGAGGAAGGAGTTGGCGGGTCAAGGTCACACATTCACTCACAAGGGTGGACAGAGAACTGCCGCCGCGGGGGCCCTACCCATGCGCCTGCTGCCCACCGTGCCCTCACCCTGGCCGCCCACGGAGGCCCAGTGATGGCGGCGACCCCAAGGCCAAGGCAGGCCAGGTACCTCACCCAAGGTCACAGGGCAGTGGAGGGAGTCTAACCTGGGTCTGCTGCCTCCCGCAGCCCAGGGCCTTCCCGCAACCCAGGGCCGCTCACTACTCCAGGCTTCCCCCCAGGGGACCGCAGGGAGGTGGACATGCTGGCTGATAAGGCCTCTGACCCCCACCGAGATGAGGGCTTGGAAAAGAATCCCCATCAGGTGGCACCAGAGGAGCCAACTGGGGGTGGGTTGGCACCCCACCGAAGGCTGCAGGCTGAGGGACCCCTGCAAGGGGCAGCGGGTGGCAAAGCCCCCAGGGGCCGGGGGCGGGAGCTAAAATTGGCCAGCACCACCAGCTGGCCCAGCTCCCTCCCGCCCGCCCGCCCGCCCGACTGGCTGGCGCCCCAACACCAGGCCTGTTGTTAGGGAACTTCCAGAGAGGCTGGACGGAAGGGGGTCTGGAACTTGGGCTGGGGGAATGCGACTCCACAAGGCCACCATGATAGCATCCAGGCGGAAGGGACTGCAACCTCTAACTCCAGAGGGAGAGCTGTCCCTCCAAAATAGTGTTGGGAGGCGAGAGACAGGGATGGCCTGGAGTCCCCAACCAAGCACAAATCTGAACAAAAGGAGGATGAAGTCCTTGCATGCACTCCACTTTACAGATGAGGAAACCAAGGCTCAGAAAGGTGAGGTCACTCGCCTGAGGTCACACAGCTTGGGAGAGGCAGAAACTAGATCTGAACCCAAGTTTATCTGAATAATCAAAGGAATAATAACAGTGACACCAGCAGCTAACACGCCTGGCCCCGTGTATGCATCTGACTCACACCAGCTCCTCGCTCCTTAAAACATCCCTAACAGGGAGGCGCGATCATCAAACTCAGAGAGAGATAAAGAAACTGAGGCTCCCAGCAGGGAGTGGATCTGCAAGCTCCAGCAACAACTAATGACAGACAGCCCTGGGCTGGGAACCCAGGCCGGCTGACTCACAGCCAGTGTGCGGGCACTTCCTGGGTGCCAGGCTTCACCAGCACGGTCTCCAGTAAACCTCTGGGGGACTCAGAGGTAATCGCCCCCATTTCCCAGGGCAGGAAACTGAGGCTTGTAAAGGGAGAACCAGAAGTCTGACGAGAATCAAATGGGCCGGCAGAGCCAGGATCTGAACCCAGGCTGGGGGCTCCCTGGCACTTCCTATAATAACTGGAAGGTGTCACCAGAGACCCAGTTAGCCTGGCTTTAGTATGATGGGCAGTGGCTGGGTTGGGGATAGGGTGGGCATCTCCATGTAGGAGGGTTCTACAGGGTGAAGGGCTGGAGATGCAGCTTCCCTGCGGGGATCTAAGGTAGGGGTGGGGTAGGGGAGGGACCCAGTGGAAGGTCTCGAGGGGAAGGGGCCGGGATCCCAGCTGTGGAGGAGTCTGGCGCTGGCTGCCCATGGTAGTGGTAGGATCTTTAGAAGCGCTGAGAGTAAGCAGAGCAAGGGAAATGAGGGGATCGCTGAAACTGTTCTGGGCTGTGGTGTCAGAGTGGGGAGGGGTAGCTGGCAATACCCATGGGTTAGTAGAAGTCAGGGGCCAGGGGTGCTGGGCAAGGGGTCTGGTCTTGAGGAAATGCTTAGATGTCACAGGAGAGGGTTTCTAGCACAATCCTGGGAACCAGAAAGAAGCCTGGGGCCTGTAACACCTAGAAGGAGTTTCCCAGGGAATAAAGGCTGGGCCTTGTGGGGGTTAAGAGGCCTAGGAACTTGGGGAGAAGCCATCCAGCAGACAGTCCCCAGGAGAAAAGGGTTAGACCAGAGCTTTTGAGTGCAGAAGTCCTCTGGAAGAAGGATCTGGAGCCAGCCCTTGTGAGCTGGGAGGTCGGCTGAAGCTGAGGAGGGGGTTTCCCAGAGAGGCCAGATTACCCTCCCCCTGAAAAGAAAAAGGGAGGTCTTGGAACAGGAGAAGGGATGGGGATCTGGAGAGCTAGAAGAAATGATGTCCTGTGAGGAGGGGCCTGGCCAAGGTGGGGATCCAGAGGCTGGGGGCTTGGGGAGGGGGGCTGCCTGAGCTGGGCATAAGGGAGCCTAAGGCCTGGAGTCAGAATGGTCCAGGGCCTAGAAAACGGAGACTGGCCTGGGGCCCTGGAAGTTGGAAGCCAAGACTTAGGGGAGAGGAAGCGACCAGAGAGGGTCCCCCTGCAGCATGTGGGGGAGGGCTGGGAATCCAGGGGCAGGACTGCCTAGAAGATGGGGACCAAGGCCTGGGAGTGCAGAGACCTTGAACAAGCCCGAAAGGGCTCTGGGCCCAGGAAAGGTGGAAACTGGCTCCGGTGGGGGGTGCCCACAGGGGCTGGGAGGATCCCTGAGGCTGGGAGGGCTGGGAATGAGAGGAGGGGGCCTTTGGGGAGCCTGGCACCCGGAGCCGGACGGAGAAGGCCGAAGCCAGAGGCAGGACGGGGCCGGGCCTTCCTGGGCGAGGGCCAGGGCCGGGCCTCGGGGTCAGAAGCCCAGCAGAGCGGGAGGGGGCCGTTGTGGGATGCGGCGGGCCGAGAAGGGCAGGGGCTCGGCACCCGCCGGGGAAGGGAGGGCGCCGGCCGGCGGGGAGGGGGCTTCCTGGAGGGAGCGACCGGCGGACGCGGTCCGCCGAGGGCCGAGGGGGTCCCGAGAGAGGGGCGCCCCGGGGTCGGGCTGCGCCGAGGCGTGGGGGAGGGTCGGCGGGCCCGGGGCCGGGCGGGGGGCGGGCGGGGCGAGCGGCCCAGGCCGGGGGGCGGCGCGGGGCTCGCGCGCGGGGTCGCAGCCGGCGCCGGGTTGGCGGCCGGACCCGGCCGGAGCTCCCCAGGGGCCGGGCCCCACTCACCGTGTCCGAGTTCCGATCGTTGCCCGGGGCCAGCGCCGTCCGCGAAGACATTTTCTCGGGGCCCCGGGGACGCGGCGGCCGGGTGGGGGGGGCGGGGTTCCCGGGGTCCCCTCGCTCCCCCTCCCCCCCGCCGGCCTGGGGCCGCGAGCTGAAAAGCGGGGCGCCGTGGACGCCGGGGTTCGCGCCGCGGGAGCGGGGCCGGGCGGGGAGGGCGGGCGCGCCGCGGTCCTAGTGGCCCCGCGCGGCGCGGGCCCGGGGCTCCATGGGGGGGCGGGCGGCGGCGGCGGGCGGGGGCCGGGGAGGGGGCGCGGAGCCGGCCGGGGCGGCGGCGGAGGGAGGCGGCGGGGGGACCGGGAGGAAGGGACGTCAGGGGGTGGGGCGCGGGGGCGGGGCAGGGGGAGGCCCCGCCCCCCGCCGCCGGCCCTTAAAGGCGCAGGTCCGGGCGCGCCGGGGGCTCCGGGGGCGGAGGCAGGTCCGGGCGCGCCGTCGGGTGCAAGTTCCCACAGGCGAGGGGCGACTCACCGGAAAGGAGAAGCGAGAGAAACGCCGCGGCAGGGTGCCAGGGACGCAGAGGGAGCCACTGAGAGGCGCAGGGACAGGGAGCCGCCGACAGAGCAGAGCGAGACGGGGAGACACAAAGGATGGAGTCAGGGCCAGGGCGGGCGCAGGCCGGGGGAGCAGACGGGCCGGGAGCCGGGAGAGGGGCCGGGGAGACAAAGCGGGAGAAGCGGAGGGAGAGACGCACAAAGAGACAAAGTGAGGGAGACCGAGAGCAAAGAGTCAGTGACAAGGACAGACCCACACGCTGAGACGGGGGGAGAGGCAGAGACAGCAGAGGTGCAGGGGCCTGGGGGCAGAGAAGCCCCCAGAGCATGACCCGCCTTCTGGCTCCCCCAGTCACGGGGGACCTGGGGACAAGGCCCGGAGATGGTGTGGGGCGGAGGCTCTGCAGAAGCACGAGCAGCCTTTCCAGCAATGCTGCCTCCAGCCTCCCGGGAAGCGCCAGACCCCCGAGTCTGGGCTGCAGTTTCCTCCCTGCGCCACACCAGCTGCAGTGTGGAGATGCTTTGTGTGGAGCTGGGTGACTCAGGACCGGCACTTGCCCTTTCTAAGCCTCAGTTCCCGGGTCTATAAAGAGAGGGGGAGGACCCGCCCGAGTCTTACCTCCCCGGTAGGGTTAGAGCAGGTACCTAGGAATCCTGCGCAGGTGTGCACCTGCAGGGCGCAGCCCCTCTCCAGATGGACAGAAGGAGACCAGAGAGGGCCAGGTCTTCGCTGAGGTCACACAGCGCCATGGGGACCAGCCATGCCCTTTAGACCCGGTGCGGTAACAGGAGGAGGGCGCTGCTTAGTCCTGACCCCGGGACCACGCAGCCATGCCCTGCTCCATCCATCTGACTCTCTTCCTGAGCCTTAGTTTCCCTTTCTGAAAAATGGGTGGAAGATAAGAGCAGTGTGTGCTGGAGCTGGCCAAAGTGAGAAACTGTTAAAATCTCGGAAATTTTAGAAATGGTTGTTAAATAATACCGTTATTGTTAAAAATTAGATTATGCAATCATACAATTAAATTAAATATTTAAAGCAAAGGTAATAAATACACGTCACATCCTAACGATTTTATTGCATTTTTCTATTATCTGTGTTCCTGAAGTTAGTGGCATCGATTCTATTTGCATAGTGAAACTACTATATAATGGGTACTGTGCTTCTCCGCCCCAAAAATCATTTTCAGTGCATTCTTTTAAGAGAGCTATTTACTTAGGCATACAAGAACTGGGGTGTAGGCCAGAGGTGCAGGGGGTGAGAAGATTTACCAGAGACAGAGTGGGGAGCAGAACAGGCAGATCAACTGAAATACACTGCTGAGGGGAGCAGCGGGCGAGACAGGAGAGGTCTGCTGCGCCATGTGGGTCAGCTCCCTGGCCAGGAGCAAACTCAAGCTGCAGTGGCTGCCAATAGCTTGATAGTGCTGCGTCTTTAACCCCTGAGCAGCCAGGGAGCCCCCAGTGAGGTCTTATTGGTAACTTGAAATGGTGGCTGTGGTGGGAATATTTGCACCATGAAATAGGCAAACGTTACAAATCAAAGCTCCCACCTCCGCCCTGCAGAGGCTGGTGTTAAACATTCACCAGCTTATCACTGATCGCTACTATATAGATTTACAAAGGTTTCCTTTGTGCCTGGCAGAACACTTATCTCTTCTGCCACCCAAGCCATCAGCCATCATCCCCACTTATAGGAGAGACGCGCAGCTTGTAACAGTAGCACTGAGATGTGAACTCAGGGTCTCCAAACTCCAGAACTGGGGCTGTTAACCACTATGCTATTCTGTTCCTGAACAGTAACAGCGTTAACCTCAGTTTGCAACAAATTAATGACACTACATAACTCAAGCACTTGACATGCCAACAGATTAGAACCTCCCAAATGGGTGAAATTTTATTATTCAGCAAATGGAGCTCAAGGAGTCTCAGGGAGGGCCTCCCTGGTGGCGCAGGCGGTTGAGTGCAGCGCTGTGAAGCTGTCCGCAATCTCTGCAGCGCGGGTTCGATTCCTGGCCGGCCAGGGAGATATCCCCATGGCGTGGCAGACCTCTCCTGTCTCACCCGCTGCTCTCCTCAGCAGGGCTTTCGGTCTGTCTGCCTGTTCTGCTCCCCGCTCTGTCTCTGGTGAACCTCTCGCCCTCCCACACCTCTGGCTGCACCCCAGCTCTTGTATAAATAAAAATAAATCTGTAAAAAAAAAAAGTCTCAGGGATAGTGAGAGGCAGTGAGCGAGGTGTTCAGGATGGAGTTCTAGAAGATCTACAACCCCAAGGGCAATGCAGGGTGAAGGGTGGAGTCTTGGGGAGGGGATGGGAACCCACGCTGAGTCACCCCTATACCTTCCCATTCCTGGAGCTGACAGCTGCACTCCTATCATCACCACACGGGGGCAGCAGATCTCCTCCGCACACACACCTGCCTGCCCACCCTGGCTCCCCCCCACTGGGTACTGACCCCACTCCATTTCCCAGATGGGGGCCTGAGGCTTAGAAGGGGACAAAGCTTCCGCATACATGGATGAACTGCGAAAACAGCAAAAGAAGGCCGACACCAGAGACGACTAATTGTACGCTTATTGTATGACTCCACTTTTATAGACTGCCCAGAACAGGTCAACTCCTAGATTTGTGGTTGCCAGAGGCTGGGGAAGAGAGGGGTGTGGGGAGAGACTATTCATGGACTAGCGGGGTTTCCTTTGGGGTGATGAAAGTGTTTCAGAATTAGATATTGCTGCTGGTGGCTGAAACCTGCGACTACACTGAAACCACTGAATTGTAAGCCTTAACAGGGTGAATCTGATGGCTTGTGAATTATATGTCAATACAAAAATATGTTAAAAACAGGGGGAGGCCCCACTGTGAATGCTGCACCTCCCCCTGCTGGTCCGTGGCATGTGAACACAGCTCCTAATGGGTCACTTGTTTTCAATAAGGGCTGCGCACTGATTACAAAAGGTCTTCACTGCGGACGTGGTGAGGTGAAGCCTGTCCTCTCCACCTTCACACCCCCCCCCCCCGCATTTCCCTCCCCGACAGCCCTTTGTCTGGGGAATCCAGTCCTTGAACGGAGAGCCCTCAGACCTTTGACTCTTAACCCCTAATGTGCTCCTGCTAGCTGACACATCTATGGAGCCCTCCCTGCTGGGACCAGGAGGAGTGACTCCCGAGCCCAGGGCGTGGCCTTCATGCTGACCCCACCCCACTGCAACCCCGACTTTGCCTAGGCAAGTGATCACTCAGGTGCCTGAACCCCTAAAGAGTCACCGATACCTAAAAGTCAGACTGAAAAGTCACCCTAAGCGAACATCCAACCCTACCCCAAATCCTAACCATTCACACCCAACCCAGTCTGAGAGCAACAGCCATCTCCAGCCCCAATTTCAGATCCTCAGCCCAGATTGCTCCCCATTTGTACTCTCAATTAACAAACCTTTACTGAGCACCTACTACGCACCAGGCACAGACCAATGAGCCCGCTGGGATTTACATTGGGGAATCTGCACGGTCAGACTGGGACGTGCAATAAAGGAATTGACAAGTCAGAGCTGCATCCCCGGAGAGAGTCAGGGTGTGTCTCCTCTGAGGAAGGGACCTGGAGCTGAGGCCAGGATGAGTGCGTGGGGCCACGCAGAGCCCTGGGCCGGCTACTACCTGTGTCACCTCTACCCCATCCCATTCATTCCTGGAGCTTGTCCAGAAGGCAAATTGTACACACAGGGAGATCAGTGGTTGCCAGGGCCAGAGAGGGGCTGGGAGTGTTGCCCCAGGGCGTCCGGGATGGTGTTGTCACCTTGGGAGGCGTGAAGAGTAGGCAGGGGGGCCGATTCCGGCCTGGGGCGGGGAGGAGGGAGGAGGCCGGACTGCAGCCTGGTGTCTTTTCCAGTCCAACCGCAGCGGGCCTAAAAGGGCAGACAGATAGGAGCCCTTCCCGCCCCTGGCCCCAGAGAGGGAGGGGTTTCCTGACAGGAAATTGTCCTCCTCTAACCCCCCCTCCTCAGATCCCAGCTCTCAGCAGTCCTGACCGAAGTAGCCTCGGCCAGGACAGCGGCCAGGACAGAGGGACAGGGGCACTGGCCGCAGAGGTAAGCGTGCAGGGGAGGGGGCAGGCTTGGCTTCCCTGCACCCCACCTCCCCAAACCAGGGCCTTCGAGGAAAGAGGCAGCGACCTGGAGCCAGGAGAGCCTGGGGGCACAGAGAGAAGCTAGGGTCTGACCTGAGAGGTGGCAGGGAGAAGGCAGGAGCAGGACGAGGGGCACAGGGGAGCCTCTGGGGACCCGGTGTGCTCTAGCACCACCGAGGGAGGAGATCGAAGTCTGAGCCCTCACCTTTGGGTCTGGTGCCTTCTGAGTTCGAGTCGGAAGACGGAGGCTCGGGAGGGCTGCGGGCTTTGCCCCCCGCTCCCCAGAGACAGGGTCTCGGAGCTGGCAGGTGGGCCAAGGGGATTGGGATGAGCTGGAGCAGGAGACAGAGTGGGGCTGGGGGTGAAGATGTGGCTCAGCTTGAAACAGGCCAAGCGGGTGACAAGATTGTTTTCGGACAGGCCTGGATTGGGGTGGGGTTGGCTGGGGTCAGGCTCGGACACCTAAGTTGTGAGGGCGAGTCTCCAACACAGCCCCCGGGGGCCGGTGGGGGTGGCATCTGCGCAGGGGTCGGCCGCTGTGAGGGTTTGGTGCTTTGGGGAAAGGCTGGCAGCGAGGAAGAGGAGGAGGGGCCGGGAGGGGGAAGTTTTGGTGGCAAGACATCCTGCAGAGTGGGGGGCTGGGGGCTTGAGGGATGCCTAGGAAGTGAGTCAGGGGCACTGGGCACTGGGAGGTGAGCAGGTGGCTGCAAAGGGCAGGATGTCAGAGCTTGGGCCCCGGAAAGCCATTGGGGTCAGTCTGGGAAAAACTCCGCAGCCGGGGCTGAGGGTGTCGGCAATGACTTGAGGTGCTACATCCAGTTAGAGGGGGATGTAGGAGCCCGGGGCGGGGGGAGATCAACTCTGGTTTGAGCAATGTTGACTTGCACTGGGGGGATACTGGGACTTCCCTATGGGTGGGGGGGAGGTGGTCACAGCTACGGGGGGGATGTTGGGGCCAGTTCTGGGGGACGATGGAGCCATTGTGGAGATGAAAGTCAATTTGGAAGATGAAAGAGAAATCACTGTGTGCGGGGCGGGGGGGGGATCAATTGCCCCCAGTTAAGAGAGTGCCAGGCAAGGGTTGTCATGGCGACCGCCTGGGGGGGCAGATAAGAGAACATGGAGGGAGGCAGGGATCCAGCTTCTGGGATCTGGAAGCTTGAAAATAACAGCTGAGTTCTGGAGACTGAAGTCAGGGAGGGAAAAGGGGGGCCTCCCACCCCAAGAGGAGGTGGTCTGGCCCACGGCCTGACCCACTCAAGGCCCGTTGAGCACCAGTCTCCCCCAAGCCCCCCCGTCCAGCCCCCACAGCCGCCCGTCCCACTTAAAAACCACCTACGCGTCGGGCGGCGGGGGACGGGGTGGACACATCTGTCACGCGTCGCTGGAGGACGGGGACACGTCCTGAGAAACGCGTCCTTGGGCCATTTCGTCCTGGGGCCGCCACAACCCCAGCCGGAGCCGCGAGGCCGGATGGAGGGGCCGGGGCCCTCTCTGGACCCCGTGGGGACCGACGTCATTCAGTGGCACGTGCCGGTGTTGTCGTCGCTGTGCTGTGGAAACGGAGGTGGCATTTAAAGCGGATCCACTAGAGCCAGAGAGACAGGCGGGGACAGCCGGGGAATAAATAGCAGCTGCAGGTACGACGAGCTCGCCCTTCAGAGAGAGCTGGAAGGCGTGAGGCGCGCCTGTTTCTGATTCGGGTCTGGCAGGCAAGTCTGAGTCTGTCTGGGCGGACACACCCCGAAGCCAGGGAGAGCTCGCGGCGAGCAGGCCAGGCGGCAGGTGGCTTCCGGGTGCTCGGGCGCCCCAGTGCCCTCGGCCTGCGGCTCCAGCCTTGCGCGGCCTGCTCCCTACCGACCTCTCCGGCTCAGCTCATCACCCCTTCGCCTCCCAGTCCAGCAGGGAAGTCCGGGCCTCCTTCTTTTGTTTCCCGTTGAGCGCCCATTCCCCAAGTGTCTGCCCTACGTGCCGGGGACACTGTGGTTCCCAGTGTGACCAGGATAACCTCAACTCTGCCCTCTTGGAACTCACCATCCAGTGGGGCGACACAGACCCATCCCCAGAGAGTGACAACCCAGAGTGGGCAGGGCTGGGTAGGGAAACCGTGAGGAAGAACCTGACCCAGCTTGGGCTTCAGGGAGGGCTTCCTGGAAGAGGGGGCATTAGGGCTGGGCCCACTGGGCATGAATGAGGGGAGCATCTCAGAGAACAGCCTTCCATGTAGAAGGGGCCACAGAAGTTGAACCCAGAAGAGCCTATATGAGGAGGAGAACAGGATGGTTCTCTGACGGAAACAGCAGGTGGGCCAGGGGAGAGGCCTGGATTTGGTGCCCAGGACTAGGGAGTCATGGAAGTTTAGGAGAAGGGGTAGGGGGGGCAGGTTTGTGCTGAAAAGGTCCTCAAAGGTAGGCTAGAGAGGCCAAGGCCAGAGGCAGGAGACAGGGGAGCAGGCTGCCCAGGGAAGCAGGAGGGGGCTTGGACAGCGGCCGGGACTGTGGAGGGGAGGAGGCAGGGACTCAGGAGCCAGAACTGGCAGGACTCCAGCAGGCCCCGCGAGGGCAGGGACTGGGCCTGCCTTGGCCCATGCTGGGTCACTAAGGCCTGAGCAGGGCAGGGTCCATCCTCTATCACTCCCCTGCCCCCCGCAAGCGCCGACCTCCCAGGGTCTGTGATTCTGGACAGAGAAACCGGGATGGTTTTTGCTGAAGAAGTGGATGGGGCAAGGTAGCAGCTGGAGGGGCGATGAGGCAGGGGCCTGGCTGTAACCCGCTGTCCGCGTAGACGCGGGGCCTACGTCCGCGTCTCTGCCCTTCGCTGGTTCTGCCGCCTCGGGAGGGTCCCCTCTCCGCTCCAGCCTGTTTCCCCAGGGCTGGATGAGCCGGGGGTGGGTCCTGGCTGTGCCCCTGCACCACGGTGGCATCCTCGGCTCACCCCTTTGCCCTTCTGAGCCTCAGTTTCTTCACCCAAGTGGGCCTAACAGTGGTCACCTCAGAAGACTGTGGGGTTCCCGGGGTCTGTGAGTGCTCAGACCCACTGCCATGGGCACCACCGCCGTCGGCAACGCCCTCGACGGCCCTTCATTTTCTCCCCCAGGCCCCGCCGTCAGAATGCCCATCCTCAAGAGTCTAGGGGTGGCAGACGCTAAGGTGCCCCGGGCGGGCACCCTGCCCCTGAGGTCTTCTCGGAACCCGTTCGAGGAAGCTCCGGGGCTGGAGGAAGAAGAGACCGGGGAGCTGGGGACCCTGCCCAACGGGACCAGCTGCCGCCGCCGCGCCACCCTGGAGAAGCTGGCGGGCCTGGCCCCCTTCCGGCTGGGCTGGTCCCCCGGCCGGCGGGCGGGCAGCCCTGGGGACGGGCCGCCCCGCTCTTTCCTGGGCCGCGTGCTGGCCCCCGGGATCCGCAGGTGCTCCGCGGATTTTGGCCTCCTGGCCAGGCTGCAGGGGGCCAGAGCCCAGGGCGAGGAGGAGGCGGCCGGGGACGCGGCCGGGAGACTGGCCTTCCTGAAACTGGGGCGCGGCTCCAAGCCCCGCCGCGCGTCCCTGGCCGAGAGGGTGGTGCCCGCGGGCGAGGCGGCCCCCGAGCCCCCGCCCAAGCTCCCAGAGCCCCCAAAGGTGAAGGAGCCGCTGTCAGGTGAGTGGGGGGCTGTGGCACGGGGCCCCTTTGCGTGTTCCCACCCCAGGCTTCACCCTACCCCCAACCCCCGCCGCCCCTGGGCCCCACCACCGGGGGGGGGGGCAGCCTCCGTCTCCCCATCTCTGTGGACAAGGCCAGACCTTGCCAGCGACTCACCCATCAGCCTCGGCCCTCACCACACCTGCCCCGCCCCCTCTCTACCTGCCATCTTCAAGCTCACCCCCATAGCCCATGTCCAAGGACACGCAAACCCCCCATTCGGATCCATTTTCTTCAGTCACCTCCTAGTCCCACTTTCAACCCTTTCTCCCTCCCTACCCGCCAGTTCAGCCTCCATCCTCTCCCCCTTCCCAGCACACACATTCAACCTACCGCCCCTCCTCACCTCCAGACTGTACCCCATGCCCATCCTGACCCCAACTTCCCACCCAACCTCCTCCTTCATCCCCGATTCCTTCTCCTCTTCCATCCCAGTCTGCACCGCAACCTAACCCCATCCTGATCCTAAATGCCGGGGTCCCACCCGCCACCTGCAGCTTCATCCCAGGCTCAACTCACGTCCAAACCTCACCTCCAATCTCAGGCCCACGCCCGAGCTCTTCCTTCATCGCCCAATGACACCCACCCCCCAAATCTACCATGTTACTCGGGGCTGCCACAACCAAGCCCCACAGACGGGGTGGCTTGGAGGCCAGCAGCTCATTCTCGCACAGTTCTGGAAGCCAGAATTTGGAGACCGAGGATTGGGGTGCCACGCGCCCTGAGAAACCTGCAGGGGCCCCTTCCTCACCTCCTCCCGCTTCTGGCGCTGTGCCTGCAACCCCTGTGGCGGCTGCGTCCATCACGCCTGTGCTCCGCGTCCCAGGGCCTTCTGGGGCTTCGGTCACCCCCCCTCGGTGACCAACTTCCCCTTTGAATAAGGACGCCGCTCACCTTGGATTAGACCCAGGCTGTACCCTCATGTGATCTTGATCACCTCTGCAAAGACACCCCCAAAGAAGGCCCCACCCGAGGCCCTGGGGTTAGCATTTCACATACCTTTTCATGGGTAGGGGGCACACATTCAACTCAGCACACCCCATCTGCACACGGCCCCAGGACTGCCTCTGCCCCCTCCCCACCGCTATTCCAACCCCATCAGCAAGAGCCACCTTGAGACCCATCCACGGGTTTAGCCCCAACCCGTCCCCAGCTCTAAACGCCACCTTGACCCCCATGGCATTGCCCGACACCATGACAACCGCCAACCCGTGTCCTCTTCCCCCAAGACGTGCCCTCCTCCTCGCCCTGTGCAGCTTCTCCCCTGCCCCCCTTCAGCCTCACCCCTAACACCCAGCCCATCTGCATCCTCATTCTGTTCTACTCTCCGTTCCTCTCTAGACCCCCAGTTTCAAACCCCTCACAAACCCACCCCTCCTTCATTCTTTTTTTTTTTTTTAAGATTTATTTATTTATTTATACAAGCACTGGGGACAGTCAGAAGCGCGGGAGGGTGAGAGGATTCACCAGAGCCAGAATGGGGGACAGAACAGGCAGACTGACGAAGTACACTGCTGAGGGGAGCAGCGGGCGGCAGGAGAGTTCTGCGCGCCATGTGGGACCCTCGCCAGTGGCAGGGGATCGAACCGGTGCTGCAGAGGCTGCGGGCAGCTTCGCAGCCCAGCGCTCAACCGCTGCGCCACGGGGGAGGCCCCCCTCCTTCATTCTTAACCCCATCTCCACCCTATCCGCACCCCCATCTTCAGTCCAACAGCAGCACAGTCCAGACTTCATCTTCAAGCTCATACCCTTTCCTCACCCTCAGCTGTCACCCAAACCCGTCTCCACCCACACTCCCCCCCAGGGAGCCCCCAGATGTCCTTCTCAATCCTTTCCCGCTCCCCTCTACAGAGCTCACCCCCAAACTTACCCCAATCCTAAACTCCCTCATCCCGACTCCTGCCTTCATCCCCTTCCACCTCCAGCCCCATCTCTGAAGCTTTATCTTCATCCCCAACCCTGTCCCAGACGGCCCCCCATAGCTGGACCCCACCCCACCCTGTCTTCATCTTCTCCACCCGCCCTGCCTGCTCCCAGCCTCCCAGGTCCTCCGCCGCCTCCTCGTCCTGCGATGCCCTCCGCTTCCTGGCAGAGGCTATTTCAGCCCCTGCTCCCCGGGGACTGGGAGGCACTGCAGGGAGGTGAGGAGGGGGTGACTGGAGCCCCCGCCTTCTGGAAACGGATGGGCAGAAATAGCGCAGGCCAGGAAATAGTTTCTCTGCCAGGGAGGAAGTGGAGGGGGGTGGAGGTGTCGGGGTAACCCTGGGCCGTGGGACCCTCCCTCTGGCTTCCCTCGCAGTCTCCTGGGGCGGGGGAAGGTCTGAACTCAGAGTGCCCAGTCACCCCCCAACTGTGCCCACCCCCCAAGGACCCCCATCTCTGTCTTGACATATCCCCTCCTCACCTCCAAGCCCCCACCCTGCCAGGGTCCCCGGCTCCCCCAGCCCTCTGCCCCCTGACCTGGCAGGGATGGTCCTTCCCTCAGTCACCCCTGCTTTCTCTGACCCCCGTTGCACTTTTCCTACCCTAACCCCCTAACCCGCTCCTTGACACCCTCTCCCCGGCCGCGCACCCTGACCCTCTCCCTCAAGCGCCACCTCCCCTTCTCGCCACACTCCCGCCACCTTCCCGCCCAAGCCCCTCCTCCCCCCTTAATCTCTCCAGCCCCCCCAGGTCCCGGCGGGCCCCCTGCTCCTCTGCTCCCCCAGCCCCTTCTCTCCCAGCCCGGCACCTCTCCCCTGCTCCCTAACCAAGCCCCAGTCTCCTCTCCTCCCGCGGCCCTCGCCGGCCTCCTGCCCCCCCAGTCTGCCCCCTCTCGGCGGTGCCTTCTCCCGAAGCGCCCCCACTTCTCTCCGCACCACCACCTTCTCCCCTGACTCCTCCCCCCCCCCCCCGGCTCTGCGCCCCCCTGATCTCGCGCTTTGCCCCCCCAGTGCTGGAGATCCTGAGCCTGATCCAGCAGCGCGAGCTGGCGCGCGCCGACGAGCACATCCTGGAGCTGGAGGCCGAGGAGCTGGCGGCGTCGGGGGGCGCGCCCGGGCCTCCCAAGGCCGAGGGCGCGGGCGGGGGCCGCCGGGCGCGGGACGTGGCGCTGCTGTACGAGGCCCTGCAGCGCGAGCTGTGGGCGCTGGTGCGCGAGACGCTGGCGGGCCCCGGGCCGGGCGCGGGCGCCGGGGCGGGCGCCGTGGCGCAGCTGGGCCAGGTGCTGGTGCAGGAGGAGGCGGCCGACGGGCGCCGGGGCCCGGGGCGGCCCGCAGGCTGCGCGCTCGCTGGGCCGAGGCGGTGGCGCGCGCGGCGCGGGAGCGCCTGGAGGCGGCGGCCCCGGGCGCGCCCGGGGGTCTGGCGGGGCAGCTGGAGGCGCTGCGGGCGCGGCTGCTGGAGGACATGGGCGTGGTGCGCGGCCGCCTCGCGCCCGCCTACCCCACCAGCCTGGGCGCCTTCGGCGTCTACCTGCGCGGCTACCACGGCGCGCTGGCCGAGTGGCTGGGGGTCGCCGCCCGCCGGAGGCTGCCGCTGGCCGACCGCTATGCGCTGCTGCACTGGCACAACCAGGTGTACCCCAGGTGAGCGGGGCCCCGCGGAGAGCGCACGCCTAGGGAGGGCTGTCCCCGGGGCACACAGAGCCACCGCCCCCAGCCCTGGCCTCTTCAGACCACCTGGGCACAGACCCCCTTTCACCCCAGCACCGCAGCACCCATGATCGAAATTTCCTCCAGTTCTGAGCGCTGGTGGCATCTGCCATCCTAGAGTGCGGGGTGGCCCACCCTTCTGCTGTTCGCTTAGCTCTGTGGCCGCTGCCAGCCCCAGGCCTTAGCTTCCAGCGCTGGGAGTTAATTGCAAGGTCAAGTTATAGGAAAAGGGGGGGTCAGTGATGCTAAGAGTCTGGGGTTGTAGGTCAGCAGCAGTGAGATTCAAGAGGGGACCGCTCTGCTGGTCCCAGGTTCTTAGCACCACCGAACTTTCCAGACCTAGAAGCTCTGTATGGCGGACTCTCCTAGAAACCCAGCACCGCGACCCCGCCAGTCCACACCGGTGGGAGAGCAAAGCCCCAGCCTCGGTGCTCCCCACTCTTCCCACGCTGGGCCCTCACTCAGCAACCCGATCCCTCCAGACCTAAAAGCCCAGCGCAGCCCACGCGTCAGGCCTCACACCACAGGGTCACTCAGGCCTGGGATCCACGCCGCGGAGTCCGAGAGCTTTAGAACTGTCAGCAGTTACGCTCTCGGACCCCTACCTATGCCCACCCCGCCGAGTACCTAAGTCTCGTCGACCCTTCCAGACCTAGAACCAGTTACCAACACTGGTCCTTCCAGTTCTAGACTCTCAGCCCCACCCACTGGGGGGACCCTCTCTGCTCCGAGACCCCCAGAGGCCCCTCTGCTCCGAGACCCTTAGCCTCGTGGGTCGGTGCTAGTCTCCGCCTCCCGGCCCCCTGCGCCTAGGGCCTGGGCGCACCCACTGTCCCGTCTTGAATCTCCCTGCTGCTGACCTGCAACCCCAGACTCTTAGCATCATTGACCCCCCTTTTTCTATAACTTGACCTTGGCAACCCCTAGACCCCTTCCCTGGCGCTGTCTCCAGGGCATCACACTACTGACTCCTGCCAGCCTCGAGCTTTAGAATCAACGGCGCGTTCACCCCCAGAACCGCAGCGCCTACGAGCCTTTGAGGCCTAGACCTTAGCTTCCTCCCCTCCGGGGTCCCCAGGCCCCCGGCACTCGACTCAGAACAGGGCGCTGTCGGTCCCTCAACTTATATCTTCTTAGCACCCAGAGCCACAGCACCCTGGGCACCCTCAGTCCTAGCCTCACAGCTCTCCAGCCATCGCATCCTGAACATCCCATCCTCGGGGGCGGGGGCGTGTGGCGGTGCACCCCAACGGGGCCCTGGCCCCCAACCCACTCCGTGGAGGAGGGAGCTGGCCGCACCCAAAAGCTGGAGCGTGAAGGGCTTCCACAAACAAAGTCAGGAGGCTGTCACGAGCAAGAGCCTCCACCCGGCTCACGCCGGGGATACGTGTTCGTGGCGTTCCCGCCATGCGCGAGACACGGAGGCCGTCGGGGAGTCTGGAAGACTTCCCGGAATGATGAGAAATGAGTCGAGTCTGCTTTGCAGGGAGATGATGCTCGGGCTGTGCAGTAAATGCGTGGGGGTAGGGGGGTGGGGGCGCCATGGTGTTGCCCAGCCGCAGAGCAAAGGGGGGAGGCCAGGCGAGAGGGCAGGGACCAGGGGGCGGCGGTGGAAGGGCAGGTGGGCGCGTGCGTCTGTCCAGAGAGGCCACTCACGGGGGAGACCTCGCGTGCCAGGTCATCAGGGCTGGGCTTGACCCTTCCGTGTCTTGCTGGGACACCATCCATCAGGGAGCTGACTCAGAGCGCTGGAGCCAGGGGAGCAGCTATTCCAGAGACTTCCTTTGAGGGATGAGCAAAGCTGGCCCCGAGAGGAAGGGAGTGGCTCGGGGTCACACACTTGGCAGGTGTGGGAGCGGGGGAGGGTTTGAAGGCCCGGCCCTGTCTCTCACCGGCCTCCCTATCTCTTACCCCCCACGACCAGAGAGGTCCTAGGGCTGGTGGATATGGTCGCCCTGGAGAATGGGGAGCTGGGGCCCCTTCTGTCCCCCGGCACCTTGCGCAGCTTGGAGGATGAATGCGTCACGGATGTTAAGGTACCAGGACTTGGCGGTGACCATTCGGGGACTGGGAGGCTGGGTGGGAGGGGTCACACCGGTTTGGGGGGGCTCTCCCCTCCCCCTTTTGCTATTTCCAGCTCCCTTTCCCCTTTTGGATTTCTGAGTTCTGTCCAAAAGACAAAGAAATGCAAGTCTCTGCAGATCACTTTTCCCTTGAGTTCTTTGGCCGCATCTCAAGAGACGCAGAGATGCAGCAGAGGCTCAATGCACTCGAACACTCCCACCCACAGAGCAGGAGAGTCCGTCACAAAGCTCACAGACCGAAAGACTCACATGGAGACATCACCAGGGGGCCATCCCGGTGGCCCAGCGGTTGAGCGCTGGGCTGCGAAGCTGACCGCAGCCTCTACAGCGCCGGTTCTATCCCTAGCCAGTTCGATCCCCGGCCGGCCAGCGAGGGTCCCACATGGCGTGCAGACCTCTCCTGCCGCACCCGCTGCTCCCCTCAGCAGTGTATTTCGTCAGTCTGCCTGTTCTGTCCCCCATTCTGGCTCTGGTGAATCCTCTCACCCTCCCACGCTTCTGACTGTCCCCAGTGCTTGTATAAATAAATCTTTAAAAAAAAAAAAAAAGAGAGAGACATCACCAGGGCGTCAGGCACTCACGCCAAGCAGCTGCCCAGCTGCAAACCCCGGCTGCCCCGGGGTAGCCTCTTCATGTTCAGTCCTGCCTCAAAAATCAGAGTCCGTGCACCTTGAGAGCCCAGAACCCTAGCAGCAAACTTGTCTGGATTCGCAGACTCTCTGAAGGCAACTGTGGACCAAAGACTCAGAGATGTGCAACCCTCGAATCCCAGATCCGCGGAATACTTGAATCCCAGAATCTGCGAATCTTGAACTACTGGGTGGTCAGAAAAGTCGTGATGTATTTTTTTCTGTTTTTCAAGCAAAACTGCATCATGTTCCGACAACCTAATAATTGTTTCGCAGATTCTGAGAGCAGAGTGTTGCGATCATCCAGTAAAGAGAGACCAGACCCTGAAATAGACGCTCTGGCTGTGAGATGCAGGAAGCTAAAGCCGCAGCCTCAGTGTAAAACTCCAAGCGCGGACTTTGGAAAGGAAGGGGCTGGGGAGGCTTCTTGGTCCAGCCTCCCTCTCTAGCAAGACTCAGGCTAGGGGGATGGATCAGGGCTTAAGAAAGCAAGAGAGAGGCACCCCAGCAGCCCCCCACTCCTACATCTCCCCCACCTCCTCTTTCCAGGCCCAGACTCGGGCAGCACTGCTCCAGGTGCTGCAGGAGGACGAAGAACTCTGGGGGAGCACGGAGGCCAGGCCCAGCAGCCTGGCACAGGATGTGTGTGAGGTAGGGGCAGAGAGGAGGAAGGGGGTCCACTGGACAGGGTGGGGAAGTGGGACCTCACCCCTCTTCACTCCTTCTCATCCCTGGATCATGAAGCTCCTGGAAGAGCACACAGAGCGAGCACCCCGCATCAGCCAGGAGTTTGGGGAGCGGATGGCCTACTGCTGCCTGGGGGGGCTGGCAGAGTTCCTGCAGAGGTATGGAGGCTGGGGCAGGGAGCATGTCTGGGGGGGCAGACAGCAGGATCCAGCAGAGGCGAGATGACAGCCAATTGGATATGGAGGGACAGGGGTGCTTAAGTGGGGTTCACAGGCTTTGCTGGGTGGTGCCCCATCTGTCACGCCCCCCTCCCCTCTCCTCCCTCCAGCTTCCAGCAGCGCGTCGAGCGATTCCACGAGAACCCAGCAGTCCGGGAGCTGCTACCCGACGTCTATATCAGCAGGACTATCTCCCTGGTCAATTGCGGGCCCCCCCTGAGGTAAGAGCCCCTCAGTGTGTGAGGGAGAAGGCCAATTCTGGGTGACAAGCCAATGGGGGTGCTTGGGCCCTGGATGGAAACTGCAGGCCTAGCCCAGAGAGGCACGGACAGGCACTAAACCTGGGGGCCCTAGGAGAACCCCAGCATCACACAGGAAAACGACAGAGTCTTCATTGCCCTGGTGCCTTTGAGTCAGAGCAGCCAGACCCAAACATTCCAAGAATGACAGATTGCTTTTTTTTTTGCCTTTTCATCTTACTTTCCTTTTCTATTAACTTGCTTTGGATTGCATTTTTTAACTGGGTGATGTACTCACATGGTTTAACATGCAAGATACGACAGGGCAGGCCCCGCACCTCTCCCCCAACTTCCAGGCCCTCAGTCATTGCTCCTCTCTCCCGGCTCTTTGCAGCAGCAGCTAATCCATTCAAATGCATGCAAATCTGTATATACGCGTCACACAGATGTATGTATAGAGGCGCATGTGCTGCTCAGATGCGTAGTCCACATATATAACTATTGTTATGGGCAGAGATATGATTGTTTCCTTTTAATTGTAAAGTATTTTTTAAAAGATTTATTTACTTATGCATATAAGAGCTAGGGTGCAGGCCAGAAGTGCAGGGGGTGAGAGGAGTCACCAGAGACAGAGTGGGGAACAGAACAGGCAGACTGACGAAATACACTGCTGAGGGGAGCAGCGGGCGAGTCAGGAGAGGTCTGCTGCGCCATGTGGGTAGCTCCCTGGCTGGGATCAAATTTGTGCCACAGCCGTGATAGCACTGAGACATAACCCCTAGGCCAGCAGGGAGGCCCTTCCTTCCTTTTCATTTTAAAAGCAAATGGGAGGCCAGCGAACACTCTGCTCTTGCCCCTGTAACATCTCAGGGATCTTTCTGTTGACCATCAAGGGGTCCTGCCTTCCGTTTCCGGATCTGAACTGTATTCCGCTGTGGGATGGAGCTTGGTTTGTCTTATCTGCCCCCAGGGCCAGAGAGCTGCCTGCCCCGCCCTGTTAGCCCCACAGTGTGGGACTCAGAGACACACTCCCAGGGGGAGCCTGAGGTTTGGGTAGAAAGTACCCAGCTGCCTATGATCAGGCTGTTCCTTCAGCGAGGGAGGGCTGTTCATCAGCTGTCGCCAGGACAAGGAGCAGGCTCCAATTTGGGGAGCCTAGATGTTCAGGATCAGACTTTCAGAATGGCAGCCACCCCACCCTCACCCAATCAACACCAAAGAGGGCCTCCTCGGTGGCACAAGGGGTAAGTCTCAGCACTCAGCCACTGCAGCATGAGTTTGATCCCCGGCCAGGGAGCTGACCCACATGGCACAGCAGACCTCTCCTGTCTCCCGCTGCTCCTCTCAGCAGTGTATTTCGGTAGATCTGCCTGTTCTGCTCCCCGCTCTGTCTCTGGTGAATCCTCTCACCCCCTGCATATCTGGCCTGCACCCCAACTCTTGTATGCATAAATAAATCTTTAAACAAAAAAAAAAAACAAACACCAGAGAGACCCCTTCCTCCCCACACACCCCACGCCCCAGACATCCCCTGACAATTCTCAGCCTCCAGACCCTCGCCCAGTTCCCCATCTGCACTATCACCCCCATGCTCACAAACTTGGATCCATCTATGGGGAGGGGAGTCCAGGCACGGAGCTGAGATACTGGGCGTCCTTGACTTTTGCTCCCACTGATGTCCACAGGGCTCTGGCCGAGCGCCTGGCCCGGGTGGGGCCCTCTGAAAGTGAGCCCGCCCGGGAAGCAGCAGCCAGCGCGCTGGACCGAGTGACCCGGCTCTGCCACCGCGTCCTGGCCGACCTGCTGTTCCAGGAGCTACAGGTGCGTGCGGCAGGGAGCTGGGGTGAGCCCCGCCAGGAGAGGGGAGCCTGCCCCCGATCCCACAATTCCTTTCAACCCAGTGCTCGGGAAGCAGGCAGAGGTGGGGGTGATGGCCCCCACCACGTCTGGGTTGTCTGGGGGTGGGTGGCGGGATGAAGGAAGGAAGAGGTGGGAAGTTACAGTCAAGGGGGGCATCAGAAGGAGGGGCCTAACACTGGGTGGAGGCCTCCCCACTGAGGTCCCCCAATTCCCTGCCCAGCTTGTCCTAGACTCTGGAGCCGCCATTCACCGACGACTGCCCAGAGGGGACTGTGGGGGTGGGGGGCGGGAGCGCGGGGCATGAGGCAGAGACGCGTGTCTGCCCTGGTTGTCACACAGCCCAGTCCATGTTGGGCTCCCCAGGATGGATCTGCCCTTCCTTCTGACGCCCTCTCCTCCCACTTGCTCCTGCCCTCGTTACTCCACCTTCGCGCCTCCACCTCAGGACCTTTGCACTTGCTGCGCTCACTGCTGGGACCACTCTTCCCGCCAATAGGCCTCTCTCACCTCTTCTGCATCTAGACTCAGATGTCACCTCCCCAGCGGGACCCTCCCTGACTGCTTATTCAATGTGGAAGTGCTGAGACCCCTTCCCTGCCCTGCTGTCTCCTTTAAAAGAAAATGTGTCTCCTCTCTGGAATGTTAGCTCCTCAAAGGCAGGAATTTGTTGGAATGTTTCTAAAACCACTTTTTATTATGGAAAATTTCAAACGCACTAAGAAGGAGGCAGAGTGACAGGATGACCCCCGGGCGGACCAGCTCCAGCCAGTACCCAGCCCTGGCCAGTCTACGCATCTTCCCCCCACTTCCCCTGCCCACTGGATTCTTCTAGAACAGAGTCCTGACATCCTATCCTCATCCATCAACACTTCAGGCCGCATCTCCGAAAGATAAGGAATCCATTTCAAACACACAGAACCTCGCTGCATTGTCATACACGACACAGGGAACCATAATGCCTCAGTGTCATCAAATAATCAGCTCAGGAATCACAGCCCCCCCCCAACACCTCCCCCACCACGTGCTTTTAATTATTAGCGAGACCTGGGCGTGATTTGTCTCCTTCGGCGCTATGTCCCTGAGCATTCCCCGATGTGTCCCCAGTGATCCACCTGGGCTGGGCCAGCGGAAGGGCTCAGAATGTTTGTTGAATGACTAAAAGGACAAATACGTGAATCAAAGCGAGTGGGTGGGGGCACAGCCTGGGGGCGCGAGGAGAACAGTTTCTGCTCCGAGCCCCGGCTGCCTGCAGAGGGATCTTGGGCACGGTGCTTGCCTTCTCAGAGTCTCTGTTTGCTCACCTGGGCAGTGGGCACAAGTACCCCAGCTTCTCAGGTGGCTGCGAGTAGGCAATGCGATTGCAGCCCTAAGGCACTTAGCTGGGGACAGATGGCAAAGCAACAGCAACCTGGCCTGAGGCCCACGCTGCGCTAAGAGCCTGAGCTCATTTAATTTGCACTTTTTCAACAAAAGCCCCCATTTTAGAGGTTCAGAAAAGCAGGTGTCTGTGGGAATAAGAGAGCAGGAAGGGGGTGCATCCAAGTGGGATAGGCACCAGCTTCAGACTCCCATGGATGGCAACCCCGTCTGTCCCCAGACACCTCACGCCCCCACCGCAGCAGCCTCAGCCTGCATCTGAGGGACTAACCCGCTGCCCAGCCTGCCTCCGGGATGTCGTCCAGGGGCCTCCCTCCCTGCCCCCAAGGGGCCACTCGCTTGGTTCTGTGAATTGACTACTTGGATTCTCTGATCCCCCTCCTCACCCCTTTTCATTCTCTTCTTTACCCCTTTTTTCTCCTTCTAGCTCCACCCCCCCATCTCTGCCTCACCCATTTCAGTAAAGCACAAGCCTGACCTCCTCTCTCTCTTGCTCAAAACCTGCCATGGCTCCCCAGCACCCTGAGTAAAAAGTTGGGGCACCTCGCACAGCCCAGCAGGCCCTTCATGTTCTGCCCACCCACCCCCATCAACCCCATCTCTCCACCGCAATCACCGCTGTGGAGCCAAGCAGTTCCCCAGGACGCCGCCTCCCTTAGAAGGGCCCGAGATTGGTTTAATGCTCTGCAGTCACTGTGTCAAAGCTCCTAATATTTTTTGCACAAAGCTGCCAGACTTTCATTTTGTGTGAGGCAGGCTAATTATACAGATCACCTTGTCAGCCATCCTGACCTCTCTGGCTCTGACTGGCAAGCTCACCTGAAACTGGCACCTTTTTCACATTAGTTCTTCCCGCTTCTGGTTCAGCGCCTCAGCTCTGGTGCCCTCTCCTCCAGGAAGACCTCCATGACTATGCTCACTCAGGCTTCCTAAACCATTCCTGCCCACTCTGGGTGGTCCCTGCCTGGGGAGCCATCTGTTTCCCTGTCTAGACCGTGAGCCCCAGGAAAAGAGAGCAGGCTATGCCCCCAGCACCCCACGGCCCTGGCTCCACAAGGTTTTGGTAACATACATGGACTTGGTAAGTGAAGAAACAGGGTGGAAGGGAGAGAGCTGAGGTCTTTTGCCCATTCTGTCCCACCCAGCCACACTTCAACAAGCTGATGCGCAGGAAGTGGCTGAACAGCACAGAGGCTTTGGACGGCATCGTGGGCACGCTGGGCGCGCAGGCCCTGGCACTGCGGAGGATGCAAGATGAGCCTTATCAGGTGCGCAGGGGGAAGGTTTTTGGGGGGCCGGAGAACAGGGGCAGGGGGAGATGGGCCTACATAGGAGGCGCTGCTGCTGCTGCGTGCCCGGCAGCAAGCCCTGGGTTACTCAGGTGTTGGGCGGGGTGCAGACTGCTTTGGGACCTACGGGATATGGGGCGCCGAAGCATGGGGTGACGCCTGGGAGGGGGCACCCTTTGAGGGTGGGCGGGGGTGTCTGCATACTGATGAAGGGACAGAGGGGGGTGCTATCAGGTAGGACAGCGTTGCCCCTGGGGACTCTGGGGGCAGCTGGCGGGGAGGGGGCTTCACCGGTGGCTCATGCCCCTCGCGTCTCCGGTCCCCAGGCGCTGGTGGCCGAGCTGCACCGGCGCGCGCTGGTGGAGTATGTGCGGCCGCTGCTCCGCGGACGCCTGCGCTGCCGCTCGGCCCGGACCCGCAGCCGCATGGCCGGGAGGCTCCAGGAGGACGCGGCGCAGCTGCAGAGGCTGTTCCGGCGGCTGGTTAGTGCGGGCCCGGGGCGGGGGTCCCCGAAACCACGGGAAACCTAGGCCGGCGAGAATGCCCAGACTCCGCAGGCGCCGGCGGGGGTGTGAAATGCGACCCTCTTGCAAGTTTCAGCCGAGGGCAACATTCGGATCCCCGCCCTCTGCGCGCAGAGCTCGGCGTTGGCACCAGCGCTCGGAGCTCGCCTCGGGGCGCCCTCCTGAGCTGCGGAACGAGAATGTGGATGCGTATCCACTATTGTGGGGTTGGTTCAGTTAATCCCCCTGCGCATACCTGGCACCCTCCGGGGCGCCGAGACAACGCGCTCTGCAGCAGCTGGTACCCTGGGCGCAGAGAGAAGCCGGTGCCCGGCGCAGCCGGAGTGTAGACTCTCAGCGCTCCCAGCCCAGGATCGCCAAATCGCATCCGCACCCTGCAGGCCTGGACGCGCACTCAAACGCTATTCCAGGAGTTTCCAGCTTGGAGTCCTTGGAATGTTTTTGCTTTTTGTTTTTGTTTGCGCACGCGGGAGGGTCAGTGGGGGGCGGCGGCGTGGGGATAGCTCCAGATTCAGCGCAGTTGTCACAAAACAAGAGAGAGCGCTGGTCTCCCGCATCCAGCTTTCCCCGGTGGTGACATTTGGCAAACCTGGGCTAGGCGTTGAGGCGGCGTCCGGGAGCCCCAAATCACCTGCAGCACTGACAGAGGCGGATATAGTAGATTTTTCTTCCAATGTCCCAAGGTCCCGGACAACGGCCGGCCACAGTCAGTCCTCGGCTTTACTTCACGGTGGAGGAAACTGAGGCCAGGAGGGCAGGGCCTGGGGGGCGGTGGTTCAGGGAGGAGGCCGCGGGGCGGGAGTGTGAGCCAGCACCTCTGCCTGCAGGAGTCCCAGGCCACTTGGCTGGACGCCTTGGTGCCCCATTTGGCGGAAGTCCTGCAGCTAGAAGACACGCCCAGCATCCAGGTGGAGGTGGGGGTGCTGGTGCGGGACTACCCAGACATCAGGTGAGAGCCTCCCCCACGCCGCCCGGCCCCTCCCTGCTCGGGGCGGCCAGCCCGAGCTCTCCCGGGGGCCCTGGCATCCGTCCTCGCGTTTCCTGCCCTTGGGCGAGGGCGGGAGGCGGCGAGCGTGTCTGACGGCCGTTTCCTGCTGGAAGCAGGGCATTATTAATACAGTTTCCCTCCTTCTGCCGCCGCCGCAGCCGCCACCAGGGCTCTCAAACAAACAGGCAGTCACAGGAAGCCCAGCGCAGGGGGGCTCGGGCGCCCGGCGGCAGGAAGGGCCGGCCCAGCAGGGGGAGTCGCGGGGAGGAGGGACGGGGGACAGCCGGGCACATGGGCGCACACGCACTGGGACGCGGCCAGGCGCTGTTTCCACCCTGGTGGGCCACTTCCTGTCTGAATGTCCCTCTCTGGGCCTCGGGTGCCTCATCTGCGCCAGGGGGAGAGCAGGGCTCTTTCCAGAGTTCTGGGGGTGTCACCACCACCATCATCACCACCGCCCATGGTGACAGTCAGCACCTTAGCCTGCAGGAGTCCCAGGCCACTTGGCTGGACGCCTTGGTGCCCCCAGTTCTTGCTTATTGTGCCCTGATGTCAGACCTAAGAAAGCATCTTGCACATCCACCCGATAAACCCGACTGACAATAGACGCTGTTCTAGAACACCGTGCAAGTGGAGGGTAGTGCTGTTCAAGTGCTGGGCATCATGGGTGGCAGGCAGGGAGGCAGGAGCTTTCCCCAAATGGCACAGCTAGCAAGTGGCAAAGCCAGGGCTTAGACAGTGACGGGCGGACGCTGCCCATCTCGCCACATTGTGAACGTCAGCGGCGGAGGGGCTGCTGCGGCGCTTTCCAGGCAGACGGACATTGGACATTAGGTGGCCAGAGGGACAACCCCATGCCAGCGCGGAGAGAGGCACCACTGGGGTTTAGGCTCCAGGGTGGAGGGCGAAGATTCTGGAGCTGATTCAGGATGGATGCTTCTGGTTCGAGGCTGTGAGGCTCATGTCCTTGACAAGGTGCACAGAGCCGCGGGACTCCATGACTGGGGTTCCTGGACTTGAATATGAACTTGGCTGTGAAGCTCAGTGTGAGAGCGGTCAGCTGGGCTGGGAGGAGCTGTTTCAAAGCCAATTTGGGGGTTCTTGAACCACATTTTGGATGCAAGTGAGGATCCCAACCCAGAGGTGTAGGAAAATAAAGAGGCTAAACTGGGGTGAAGGTGGAAGTGAAGGTCGTGGAGCTCTGTTTGAAAGGACGGCTCTGGATGGATGTTGGGCTCGGGATCTTGAGTTGAAATAGGGTGCTCCACATTCTGGAGCTGAGTTTTGGACGAGTGATCTGGAGCAGAGGGGGGAGCAAACGAGAAGAGTCCATTGTGCCGGATTCAGGGGTGAGGGCTTCAGACTAGAGTTGGTTTTGAGCATGAAGGTTCCGATTGGAGTGAGGGTCTCCCAGGGGGGGTTTCATACTGGAGTATAGTTTTAATTGATGGGTTGGGAGTGACTTGGGGGATGAAGGTTCTAGAAGGGCATCTGGTTGAGTGCTCTTGAGCTATGGGCGAGGCCTCTGGCACTGCAGTGGTGGGGAAGTTCCCAGTCTGGCCTGGGGGTGAGGTGAGAGTTTGGGTGGCAATGTGGGTGAAGACCTGGCGCTCGGTGTGAGTGATGATGGTGGTGGTGTTGGAAATAAAAGTGAAGCTAAAGGGACTGGTTCACTGGCATCCAGAGCTCAGTTAAACAGGCACGCTGGCACTGAGGTGGAAATTTAGGATCTATCTGGGTTAAGCTGGGGGTGAAGGTGGACAGTCAGGACCTGAATCCAGGGTGAAAAAAAAGATTCTGTGCTGGGTTTGGAGGTGAGGATTCTGGAATGGATCCTGAGTAGGAAGATTTGGAAATGGCCGGAAGTAAAATTCTAGAAGGGGACTGACATGAGGGAGGGGCTGGGGGGCTGGTGAGACATCTGTGGGGGCCTAGTGTAGGGAGAAATCTGGTGAGAGGGAAGGATTTGGGGGTTGCTGAGGAAAGGAGAGATACCTAGGGGACTGAGGGAGATCTAGGGGGCTGGGGAATAGGGGGCACATGGTGTAAAGGTGATATCTCGGGGGGCTGGGGGGGCTGGGGGAGGAGGGGTTTGAGGAGACATCTAGAAGGGAGCCGAGGGACTCCAGAGATCAGGCAGGTTTAGGCCAGGCAGGCCGGGGTGGCATGCGCAGCTCTCCCTTCCTCCCCAGGCGCAAGCACGTGGCAGCCCTCCTGGACATCCGCGGCCTGCGCAACACGGCAGCTCGCCACGAGATCCTGGCTGTGGCCAGAGACCTGGAACTGTCTGAGGGGGGTGCCCTGTCACCCCCTCGGGACAGGGCCTTCTTCACGGACATCCCCGTGCCCCGCCCACCTTTCTGCCTGGGTCTCCCCCTCTTCCTGGGCCGCCTGCCCCTCTCCCGGCTGGCCAGGCCCGGGTTGGCCTGTCTGCCCCGGCTTCGGCCTCGGCCTCCATCGAGGCCCCGAGCACAACGCTGACACTGTCCCCCGTCCTCTGCCTCAGTGCCCCCCCATCTTTGCTGCTGACAAACTGTCCTCCTGTACAGCCCCCACTCCCGGCTCCCTGCCCGGGGCCACAGAGCCCTAGGATGGGGCGATCCTTAGGGGTCTCCCTACTTAGCCTCCAATCCCTGTGCGGAAGAAAAACAGGCCAGAGGGAGCAAGGACTTTCCCAAGGCCACGAAGCACGTTCCCAGCCCTCCTCCCCAGCCCAGCCTGTGGTGAGCTGCGTTCTGGAAGGCTCTACAGAAATATCCCAGCGCCCCCCCCCCCCGCCCTTTCCCCTCACCTCAAGGTCTGGCCTAAATCCAATGTATTAAGGAATGTACGATACTTAGAATAAAGAGGTTTCTATTTAACACAAGGAAGGGCTGAGTCCCCAGTGTGTGGGGGGAGGAAGGACCGGGGGCAGGGCCCAGGGCCAAGGGCTTCTCACACGCCCAAGGCCGGGCCAGGGTCCAGCTCTCGGGCAGCACCGGAGAGGCTGAGGGCGGCTCGCAGGCCCAGTGACCAGGCCGCCCCGTGGACACCAAGCCCCGACACGCCGCGCCTCTGCAACGGCCCTCGGCCGCTCTGAGCCCGGGCCCCTCGATCTGTCAGTGCCAAGCGCCTGTCCTCAGCTCTGGGCCTGGCACCTCCGCCTTGGCACGCGTGCCCCATCCATCCTTGGCCGGGAAGCCGTGTCAGGAGAGGAAGGAGGTTGGGGGCAGGGCGGGCAGCATCCAGGACGCCCTCCTGGGTTGACTCAGGAAAATCTCAGGGTGGGAAAAATTCCAGCCTCTCACCCCCAGCCCCGCTGCCGGATCCTGGTCCCCACCGAGACCTTGAGGTCATCTCCCTGCTGACCCCTGCCCCTCCGGCCCGGCTGGGCAGTCTATGATGGATGCTTCCTGGCATGTTTTTTTGTTTTTTTTCCTCCTGAGAAATCGGAAGGAGGAGGCAGCCAGGGGTCAGCGTTGGGGCTGGGGTTGGAACCTCACGCACGTTTGAACTCAGGCCTCTTGGAGCCCCAGGGCTGTGTGACCCCCTAGCCGGAAGTCCTTCTCTGGGCGGTGGTTTCTGTCCCTTTCTGGGGAATTGCTTGACCTTTCTGAGCCCAGGACCAGGTGAGAAGCCCAGGGGATGCCTCCTCACTCCAAGTGTCCTGAAAGGACACTTCCCATGTCACAGACATACCAGAGAGGCGCTGAGGCGACGGCAGATTGCATTCTGCCCACACTTAATTAAAGATGCATTCATCTGAGTTTGGCAGGGCTCTTGCCAGATGCTGGCATCCTGCTTCAAAAGTCATCCTACTGGGGCCTCCCTGGTGGCACAGGGGGTTAAGATGCAACACTATGAAGCTGTCCGCAGCCACTGCAGCACGAGTTCCATCCCCGGCCAGGGAGCTACCCACATGGTGCAGCAGACCTCTCCTGTCTCGCCCGCTGCTCCCCTCAGCAGTGTGTTTCAGTCAGTCTGCCTGTTCTTTTTTTTTTTTTTAAATTTTTTTCTTCAGCCAAGACAGCAGAAGAGATGGTTTATTGTACACGTGTTACATTCAGCCCACTGAGAACAGAACGAGTCCAGAATGTCACAGGTCCAGGGCAAAGGACCAAAAGGGACCGGTTTTGGTACGAGCAAGGTGGGTCTCTCAAAGGTGTTCTCAGCGATCAGATGGTGATGGATGTTCTAGATTCACGGAGACAAAGCTCTAGACAGTAGCCTGCAGCCCAACAATTTGTACCAGCGTCCCTGGCCTCCGGCTTTCCTTATTTCTGCTTCTGTGGCCGCATGGGTGTTACTAGTTCACTTGGACCTCTGCCTCATCTTTCTTCTTTTGCGCTTCAGCCTGCGCATTTGCTTCTTCCTCCACTTGGCTCTCATGGCGCGGAGGCTTCCGGGAAGATGGCACTAAGGCTGAGGGCAGTCTGCCTGTTCTGTTCCCTATTCTGTCTCTGGTGAATCCTCTCACCCCCACACCTCTGGCCTGTACCCCAGTTCTTATATGCATAAATCCATAAATCTCTAAAAAAAAAGAATAAAGAACACTTAACATGAAACTGCCCGGTGACACGTTTGTAAGTGGCACCTTTGCAAGTCCAGTGCTGCTGCCCGGCCATGCCCCCTCGGGGCACCCGGGAGGGCCAGGCTCTGTAACCACAGAGGGCAGATCTCTGGAACTCATTCACTTGCACCCACTAAACAACCCCCTCCTCCCTCCAGCCCCTAGAGCCCCCATTCTGTTCTTTGCTTCTACAGGTCTATTTTAGCTCCTCCTATAAATGGACTCTGTGTGTGTGGGGGGGAGTGGGGGTGTCCTTCTGGGAGGGGTTCATGGCCTGACCCTCGTGTCCTCCTCTGGGATCACCCTCTTGTCACACATGGCAGGACTGCCTTCTTTGTTTTAAGGCCGGATTATATTCCACTACAGAGAGAGAGAGAGAGCAAGTGCCAAATCCTAACCACTAGACCACCAGGGAACCACCTTTTCTTTATCCATTTCTGGGGGGCACTGGGGTGTTTCCACATCTTGGCTCCTGCGAATCAACACTAGGTCCTTTGTGTGTGGCTTCCTCCACTAAGCGTCATCTTGCCAGATCCATGCACGGTGGCGCCCGTGCCAGTATATTTCTTCTTGCTGAGTAGCATGCCCCGCGACTCCACTGGACGCGCGAGGTGGCCTCTATTTATTTATCCACACATTCATTCATGCATGTGGCTCCTGGTGGGCATTAAGGTCTCCGCTTTGGGGTTTTTAGGAACACGGAGCCTCATTTTTTTCTAGATTGCAAGCGTTGTCTTGGCCCCCTCCCCAGAGGCCCCGGAGCCTCACTTTCCACGCAGTGAAATGGCGCGGAGCTGCGCGCACCCAGCGCCGCTGCACGCCCAGCCCCGAGGAGCCCCTGCGCCGGCGCTCACAGGCCGGGGTGGCTGCGGGACAGGCCCCGACGGGGAAGGAACGCGGCCCGGGTCATCCACCCGGGGAGGGGCGGACCCCCGGCGCCCCCCGGCGCCCCCCGGCGCCCCCCGGGGTTCAGCGAGGCTTAGCCGGGCGGGGCGGGGCCCAGGTGGTCACGTGCGAGGAATTCCCACAGGTTCCGACCAATCGCAAGGCCCCGTCACGCCACCTGCGCGGGCGCGGGGCGGCGCATTCAGAGCCCGAGCGCACCCGGGCTGGCCTGGGGCTGCGGCGCGGCCGCCCTGTCGGGGGTCAGGGGTGTGTCCGAAAGGCGCAGTATCTGGTGGCGCGTCCCCGGCGCCGAGGAGGGACGCGGATGAGGCGCCAGATGAGGCAGGACGCGAGCGGGACCGAACCCCAAGCGGACAGACTACCAGCTCCCCGCCACGTCTGCAGGCGCTGGGGGCCCGGCCGACGGCGCGGCCCAGGCTTACGGCCCGCGCTGCCGCCTCCCAGCACCCTAGGAGGCGAGGGCTGCTGCTGTCCCCGGAGCACCCAGTCCTCAGGGCCGCCAGCGTCACTCTGGTCACACAGCCGTGAAGGGGCCAAGCAGCCTCAGGTGGGGAGAAAAGACGAAGCCAGATGAGGAGGAGGCGCTATTCAGAAGGGCCCTGGTGCCCGGTGAGGAGAGGAGGGGAGGGGTGTGTGCCCTCTGCCCCAGCTGGGGCTGATTCCACCCCCACCAGGGTAAATCTCCATCAAAATGTGGAGGTGCAGGGCCTCCCTGGTGGCGCTGCGGTTAAGCGCTGGGTTGCAGAGCTGCCCGCAGCCTCTGCGGCGCCGGTTCGATCCCCGGCTGCTCCCCGGCCACCGGAGGAGGGTCCCACATGGCGCGCAGACCTCTCCTGCCGCCCGCTGCTCCCCTCAGCAGTGTACTTCGGTCCTTCTGCCTGCTCTGCTCCCCGCTCTGGCTCTGGTGAATTCTCTCACCCCCCCCCCCCCCCCGCGCTTCTGACTGTACCCAGTGCTTGTATAAACAAACAAACAAACAAATAAATAAATAAATAAAACATGCCTCTATTTAAAAAAAAAAAATGTGCAGGCAGGTCATATTGCATCTAGCCGTGCGCAGAGGCAGTCATGTCAAAGAGCCTGTGTGTATGCTGGAGCCCCCAAAGGTGTGGAGGGGGAGATCAGGGTGTCTGGCACCTGCCCAACAAATCCTTGGACCCCTCGACGGCAGGGGATCCAAGCGGCTGACCAAGCTTGAAGAGACAAGCCTGGGCTTCCGTGTGTGAAGAAAGAAGGGGTCAAGGAGAGACCCTAGCAAGCTCCCAGCATGCACAGATGCCTCAGCACCCACCGCAACCCGCTCTGGGGCTCCCATACCCATCACTGGGCCTCTGCTCTCTCTAAACACCAGTCCCCCCAAAATAAAATAAACCCCAGGCGCCTTACCCCTCCCTGAGATGCATCCCACTTCCCTCTGGGTCTCTTCTTTAGACCCTGTTCCTTTCTGGGAGCCCCTCCCATTCCTCGAGGCTCCATTCCCTTCCCGAGCCTCCCTGCTCCCCTCTTCTGAGGCCCTACTCCTTCACTGCGTGCCAGGGGCTCTAAGTTGCATCTCTCACTTGGATACCCTCTGAGCCTCCAGTCCCCATTCCTATTAATTTATCCAGCCATCCAGCCATCGTCCATCCATCTACCATGTATCCATTTTCCAAGTTCACCCTCTGTCTTTGTGCAGACGCTGCCCTTATGGGATTGACAGTCCAGTGGGGGAGACATAGCTATCATCCATAGTCATCAGGGATACAGTGGGGAGGCTCAGGGGTGCCTGGCCTTGTTAGGAGTCAGGGAGGGCTCCCTGGAGGAAGCGATATCTGTGCTGAGATTCAATCCTCACCTGGACACAGACATGGTTCCTGCCATTCACAATATCCCACGGGCCCGAAGGAAGAAATCAGAACCAATAAATCCACACATTTTCTTCCAGTCTCACCTGATGCGCCATATTATATACATGGAGCAGTTTGCAGGGGGAAATTTAAAATACACACATCCTGGGCCTCTCTGGTGGCGCAAGGGGTTAAGCACAGCACTATGAAGCAATCGCAGTCTCTGCAGCACGAGTTCGATCCCCGGCCATCCCACATGGCACATCCCACATGGCGCAGGAGATCTCTCCTGTCTCTCCCGCTGCTCCCCTCAGCAGTGTGTTTCAGTCAGTCTGCCTGTTCTGTTCCCCACTCTGTCTCTGGTGGATCCTCTCACCTCCCACCTCCTTCCCGCATCTCTGGCCTGTGCCCCAGCTCTTGTATGCATAAATAAATAAATCTTTTTAAAAAACAAAGTCATGGGCCTCCCTGGTGTCGCAGGTGGTTGAGCACCACACTGTGAAGCTATTTGCAATGCAGCCTCTGCAGCATGGGTTCAATCCCAGCTGGCCGGCAAGAATCCCACATGGC